CGTGAGGTGTGACATTTTAGGGCCGAAATTTTCTGACCCCTTCCTTCCTTGTCAGAAGGCAGAATCGCTGCAGATGCTGATTGCCCGAGGGAAACACCTTACTGCTGTCACACCCCTCTGCAGTTAGCAGTACGACTTCGCCCTTAAACCTTGAGTAGCTACCTTAAGTTTCATCGTTCTCCAATCGACCTGCCTGGCATGGTAGAACCTGCAGGAACATGTGTTGCAGCCAATATAGCTCAGTTGGGTCATCACCATGGGCAAACCCGATCACCACGTCAAGGTAGCAGCTGCGACCGGGATGAGTGTCGTATAAATGGTTTGAATAAAACTTCCGCGGCAACAGGATCTCATAATTGAAAATTTTGACCGAAATTCATTGGAACCGTCCTGCGTAACATTCACATATTCATCAATTTATACTCTTCTAAATCATTCACATTATTTTAGCGCATTTATTTGTATAATTAAGAAAATTGGTTGTTGTTCTGATATTTTATTAAATAGTTATTTATTGCTGAGATATTTATGAACTTGAAGATATTCACTACCTTACCAACTGTTACTTTCTTTACAACAGGTATTGACTTTGGTAAAGTTTAATGACCCTTTTTCGAATATACGTTGAATTGTTAAAATTTCTCTCTGACAATAACTCCTCCAGTGATGGTACTATTTAGCCATTACCAGCTAGTTAAGAAGCATTTTATAAATTGTATCATTTATTCCAGTCTTATTTCAGTAGTGTATGATTTCTTGATGTGATCTTTAATAACAAAGTAAGAATATGTAGTAGAATGTTTAGTTGAAATCGGTTATTTTTCAGACAATAACACGATAATTATACTAGCGGATGATTCGATTTATAATATTTAGCAATAGAAATCTAAGTTTACAGAGAGTTTGAGCTGGGAACTTGTTAGTTAAGAGTTCGATCCTTGGTTGAACAAGTAACAGCATCCACTCACTGGTCCGTGCTTACTTTGATATCGTTTGTAAACAGTTATAGCACACCTCTACCTGGACGCAGAATAAGCAAATGCATTACATTAGCCCTTAAAACATACTGAACTATTTATTATAGGTCAGTTTATGAAGTAATGAGAAAGTGACTCTCTAATCTGTAGACTGAACCTTAAAATAATTTTTCATTCAACTTATTATTTTATTGATAATTTGGTTCATTAGTCACTGCTTTTGTAAAAGCTGTAATTACTGTATTCTTATGTCTTTCATATTCAGTTATCTAGTAAATGGCTGAACTATTACAAATATATAACGCACTGACATTTTATAACGTAAAAACATTATTATTTTCAGTACAAGATATTTGGTTACAGTCTCGTAATTATATATATTTACATGTGTGACTATAAATTCAAAGATTTTATTCTTTGTTATCAGTAGAATCAATTAATCATTCACTGATAGCGATAGATTTTAGTGATATTTACAAATTTGTAGTGAATGTTTTTATCAGATGGTATACAACATAAGATAATTGTTGGGGATGTTAGATCCCCAGAACTCACTTGATAAATTTCCTTGCTTTGGATTTATTTCATGGACCGATCAGTTGACCTTGAGATCATATTTCCCATCAGGAAAATCCTTGGCTGTGATTGGTTACTATGTCATTTTAGTGTGCTCTTTTTGTGACAATCCTAAGGACGTCTCTAAGGAGTATAAATAAACGCAATTTGAGGGCTTGGATTCATTATATGCTGGCTGGGTGTACTTATACTTTGATTAGTTTTGTGATGATTGTTATTACTTGAAGCGACAAAACTGGAAGAATGATGTATAAATATTTAATAGATACCGGGAAGATGACATTTGTTCTAAACTCCATTACTGATCAGTATCATGAATAAGTCATGATTCATACTTGTAATAAATTATCCGATTACCCTTAATCAATGTTAACAGTAGTTATATTTCAGTTGTAAAAAAAATTTAAAATTCAAGTATAAATGAATAAGACTCATGCTGATCAACCACATGGGGATAAATGAATTTATATGATGTTTGTAAAGTTTTACATGAATAATTCAATGATTTGTGAAGATTTATTCACTTTGAAAACAGTTTATATTCTAAAGTAATATCAACTATGAGATCATTAAAAAACTAAACAGAAGTACGAAATTCAGACTACTCAACAATTATTACCTTGAAGTAGAATAACTGAAAAAAGTTTCAGAGTTTAATTAATTAATAAACTGTAATTGAAGAAATTAAACATTATTTTCTTGGCTAACCAATGCAATTCTGAAGTTTTAAAAGCATCTAAAAAGGAGAATTAACCGTTGGATATTTAATATTTTTGAACTTACCATTGAAATGAAAGTGAAGTGTTAATAATCATCAGCTTGCTAGAACTTATACTATTATTTAAAAAATTCATAAACTGTTACCAACAATTTTATAGTTTATGTTTCTGTTGATATTGTCAACACTGAATAAGCATGAAAATATGAACAAATTTTTTGAAAATCTAAGTCTCAGTGGAAATATAAACATAGATCAATATCTATTCCTATGGGTACAGGTGATTTTGAGCTTTTAAAAGCTTTGCAGAATGTATATTTATATATGAAAATAATATGAAATATAATATGTGTGTTATTAAGTTCAATATTCAATAGGGATTTCTGTTTGATAAGTTAAATGTGTACAAATAAAATCTTCATCCGAATGACTGGAAATTTTAACATCACAATAGGCATTTTTGTCTCATCTATTAAATTAGATAATTATGTATGTTTAGGTTAAAACAAATCACTCTCGATGTACTTCTTCAAATTCTTACGACATTTAATACAATTCTTTTGAAAGTTGACATTGTTTTCCACTAACAACAAAACAAATCAAGTTAAAGTTTACATTTCGCATTTATTTTGTGAAAAGAATGGTCAAATAGTAAGTGAAAGTCATTTAGTAAACTGATTCATTTATATTTCATATAAACTACTCATGACTAATCAATATATATTATCGCAAATGTCTGTCTGATTAATGTGTTTATGTAATATTCATACGAATAACTTTAGAAAGACAGTGATGATGGTGACGATTGGTAGTTTATGCGGAAGATTTTGGAAACATTAAGTTATCTGATCTAAAATGATTTATTCGTGAAGTATTCACTAGTTTTCTAGACAAAAACATCAATAGGTACTTCAAAAAGTTATTTATTGAACAGATACGAAGGGATTTATTATATGGATTATTTAGATGAAGTATAATATGTTTGCGCATAAGTAAAACATTTCATGCTAAGTTTAGACTGGATTGTCGGACGAAATGTTGTAATAACTTAAAGTTCACCCGCTAAGACTAACAAATATAAGTTTCTTCTTTAATGTCTTATATTAACTCAGCGCCTAACTACTATGAAACTTTTCATTCAAGTTAAGACGTAAGTTCCCTGTAAATTACTGTAGTATAATTTATATAGGTGGATTAGTCATTTAAACACGTAACTTCTGGATTCACACAGAACCTTTTTACTGATGATGACAATATTTCTTCCTCATCTGATGCAGCATAATAAACAGTTATTATCTCCTTCCCTCTCTCTATTTTCTTATTCTGTTCGAACAGTTCAGATGAAGGACTGAATCATTCGTTATTTTTATTAACATCAGCAAATTAAGAATGAGGTCAGAAGGTCATATTATTAAAATACAGTGTTTTGATCCTCTGCACTAGGCCAGATGTATAAAAAGGTAACTTTTGAAGTAAAGAAAGTATACGTCAGTAAGATTTGTTGATTTTTTTTGCTGCAAAGTGCCTAACCATATCTACTGGTGACTTAACTGCAACTTGGTCGATAGACCTCAGTTAGCACAACGGTCTAAACAGCATAATATTGGTTACCAGTTAGTGTGTCAGGAATTTAAATACCACTTACGTCATGAGTTAACTGTAATATCTTTGACAATGGCAATGCGAGACGTGTTCACAACCGGCAAATAGCATCAGTCCCCTCACTAACACGTATGTTTCCTAAGTGACATCAATAGTCAGCCTAAATAAAATGCTGCTTTTAGATTATTGTTGAGTAGTGAGTAAAAACGATTTTATTTAGGAATCAAATATAAAAATAACGAATTCAAACAGTCATTCAATTATTAAAATAAACAAACTGAAAAATTTAATTTCCAACAGATCCGTAACCCTAAGGATATTTTTTAGGATATTTTTAGAGATTCCACCAGACTTCATGTCATGTCATATCCTTTAATTTTAGAATCCATTCAAACAAACTGAAACTAGTTTAGTATGTGTATTTTGAAATGAAACATGAAGCACTGGTTTCAACAATAAAAGGAATTATAATTTCATATGAAAACCAGTGTTGAGTCAGGTAAAAATAGTTATCGAACTGCTATTGTTCTCAAAAATTAGTAAATTTATTTTCAAAACAGTTCTTGTTATGAGTAGTATCCTCCGAAAATTAATTAAAGACTTGAAAAATCAAATCGACGATTCACTATAGCAGCAACATTTTGGACAGTGTATACCCCAAGCTGGGTCAAAACCAGAACCTGAGTGTGTGAATTCATACATAAATGTGTTATATCATAGGTTTGTATACACAAATGTAATATATTTATGTAATTACAATGCCCGTAATGACCCTTTAAGAGGTAGAGGTTAGACACTGCCGAAGAACTGCATGCTAGGATAAACCGGTTGTTCGATGTTCTTCGGTTTCTAATGATATTCCAACCGCAATAAATCTATGGGTAGTGCAATCCAAAAAGTTGTCAGATCCTTGTAAAACCCCTTCAATTAATCAGCCATAATTACTTTTAATTTCGCATCAGAATACATAAAAAGCTACAAGTGCATAAACTTTCTAACATTAATTTATGGTGTACACGATAAGTTCCAGTTGATTATTTGATTGGCTGATTTTTGAAGTACACTGATTGGTTAAAGTATTCACAGTCCAATTTTTTTATTGTCTAATCCGTGGCATATTGTTTAATCCTAAAGCAAATGCACTAGCAGATACTTATATTTACACGTTGTGTATATGAATATCTGTGTACAGCAAATATTGTTCAAAAGTCAATAATCGAAAAGTAATATTATTTTGTTTATCAATAAAGTTCATCAGTCTTTAAGCATAGAGAAGTTACTTTTATGCATTCCTTTTGAATATTACATTAATAAAGCAAATGTATATTCACTAAAAATAATCCTTAAAAAAGAAATTACGAAGTGTTTAGCCAAAAAAGAATTAATCAGATTAATCAATTTTCAATGTTTATATATTTATGTGTGCTTGCAATCATCATCAGTCAATCATCTATTGATCAATTGAAATTATCTAGTGTAAATGGACAAAATATCTTGAAATATGAACCACATTTCGAAAAGAAAAGAGGTGGAGAATTCATCAAGAGAAATATTAATGATAATGAAGATTATGCTACAGAAGTTGTCAAGAGATCAAGACAACTGCCGTTTCAACCAAATTCTATTAAAACTTCTTATTGGTTTGAAAATAAAATAATCGATAAAGTGTATGGAACAAAGAATGGTGAAAAAGTAAAAAATACAAATATCTCGGTAAGTTAAAGTATTTTCTCAGTGAAAATTATATTTTTATATGAAGATCTGTTTATATAAAGAGGATATGCTATATTGTTTTTGATAAAGAGCGATTTTAACTTACAATCAATAAGTCTTTATTCCATGTGCTGTTACCTCTTAATAATATCTTGAAATAAGGATTCCTCTTCGAACATTTGATATTTTAAACCAAGAAGTTATATTATTTGGCTTGGAAGCTATTAAAATTTAGACAAGATACTTTTATGTAGGAGCATTTATAAGGATATATCTACAAAGAGTTTATTAGTTATTTGCACACAAAGTAGGATATAACATAAATATGTATCAGTTTAATTAGTTACAGTCGGCATCTAAACAGTTTCCCTGTAGAATTGTTTTAAAATTTTTTTTTGAATCTCATACTGTTTGGAGCATATTAGAATAGATGGTGACCAGTAATGTGTGACAAAATGTATGAGATAATTTAGTTTTACAATCCTGTCCATCGATTTACCATTTCTACACTCAAAATAATCTAAAAAATAAACTTGTATCTTCTAGAAGAATCCATGTCTTTATGAATTCTTGACTAACTGATACTTCTTGATTTGATTTATTTTTTTAAAAATAATTCAATCTAACTGTATAAATTAAGTCATTTGTAACATAAAAAGTTTTGCACATTTCTTTGATGTAATCGATATACATTCTATTAGATAGTGATAAATTGCAGTTCTAAACGTTAACAACGGGAAAATATCAATCATTAATAATAAATTAAGTTTAATTCTTAATTACATTTATGAAAGGATCATATTCATGAACTAAACGTGCATAAAAATTCAATGGTTACCTACCATTGTATGTCACCGTAATTGAACTTAAAAAAGATGTTTGATATTAGTCACCTAAGAAGAATTATGAATTGTTATTTATACTATCATGTAAGCCCCATAATATGATTGTTACAAAGAAATTCAGATCCATAATAATTATATGTCTATTAGTAAATAGTTTTTTTCATGGAGTTCAATAATTTCGGATTCATGCAGTTAACCATTAACGCTATTGAATAAAGTTCATGCTATGGCGCCAATTAACTGAAAGCGTGAAGCATAATTTTACTTTATTTTTCAGTAGTTAAATGAAATCATGAGCAGCTTAGGACTTAAAATGCATTTCAAATTCAACATTATTGATCACTAATGTGCAAACTAATTCGTCACTTTCAACATAAATTAAAAAGTATGTGGATAATTGTGCCACATGAAATTCTATGGCCAAAAGTGTATGGACCACGGCAACTAAGTGTGTTATACAATTGATAATAGCTAAAATCTCCTCGGTAATTATAGAAACAAATGGATCGTTAGTTATTTTATATTTTAAATATCGAAATGAAGTGATCGGAGAATAATACACAGATTTTACTGATACCCTCCTAATAAAGCAAACATTTAATCTACTCTCATATATTTTACAAACAGTTTATTCCGATATTAAGCCTACATCGATAATATTGATTTTTGTTTTAACCATTAGGGTTATATGATAATAATAATATTTTATCTTTATTTCCACTGTTACGTATTTTAAATTTTCTTATCGATTTAATTTTGACATCTTTTGACAGTTTTACATTTTGAACTTGTTCAATATATGATAGGATTGTTCGAAATGTTACATATAAATGCATGAAGTCATTAGTTATTAAATGAATTCAATAAACTACTTGGCCTAATAATTGAATTTTGGTTATCCTTTCCTCCTATGAAGTAGCTGTACTGTTAAAAATTTAAATTTTTTAATACATTGAAAAATTTATAGCTTCTTCATCTTAAGAATGAAAACATTTCCTGTAATAACAGGTAGTTAGAGTGTAAAAATGTTGAAATAGAACTTTTTGATAATGATTGATCATGTCCGATTATTGCTGTTTATGTAAGATGAATTTCATTGTGCTACTGAGATGTGGCAGTTTCATTGAACACGTAAATAAGATGTTAGTAGAATGTGATTTATTTAGTATATGGATAATCACTCATTGTCAATCAGAATCCGAGGGAATTAAGCAAAAATAATCAATAAGTTTAAACTAGCATTATCAAATAATTATCAACGAGTAACTGAATATAAATAGTTCCCCTGTATCTGGAGGAAACTTGGAAAACTATCAAAGCAATCATCCAGAAGATACAGTCACTTATTAACAGTTGTCTATGCAAAATACTTCTCATCCGTTTGCCAGACATCATCACTAAAAACCTACTGTAGGAGAGAACAAACCAGATTCCGGTGAAGGAGGAAATCAGGAAGAAGCGCTCGAAGTGGATGGGATACACATTGAGGAAATCATCGAACTGTATCACGAGACAAGTCCCTACTTGTAACCCTCAAAGTCAAAGGAAAAGAAGGAGGCCAAGGGACACATTACACCGAGAAATGGAGGCAGACATGAGAAGAGTGAACAAAAATTGGACAGAACTGGAGAGGAAGGCCCAGGATAGAGTGGGTTGCAGAATACTGGTCGGCGGCCTATGCTCCATCGGGGATAACAGGTGTAATTAAGTAAGTAAATAAGTACTCAATACAAACAATACCAATTAAATCCATTTCATTTGAAAGTGATACAACCATTAAATTTTAAACCATGAAAGTTTTACAAAGTAAGGGATCATAGTAAGTAGACAATCATATTTTATGTTTCAATAAAATCTAGCTTGTTTGATAAGTGATCATTTTTCATAAACAAATCATTTATTATGAATCATTGTTTAGCCCCTACATGTACAGATCAATATTTGATCCAGTCACACAATTGATTCATATGTTATAACAAATAAATTAGTCACTAAAAAAAAACAATTACAATTGTGTGTTAGATGATAATTTAGTAGGATGTACTTTTATTGTTTCGTGACATTTTAGTTTGCAATGCTGACCAAAAGTATCAGTTGAATTTCATGACTTCAATGGAAATTCACAAGTAATAGGTTAAAATTATTAGTCAATGAAATGATAACCTGTCATAATTGTAAATTATGAAGGCTATGCTGATTGTGAAATAGTATCATTTTGGATTAAACTTTATAATAATTAATTTTCTGTTGTAGTAGATTTTCTATTTGATTATTTATTGATTTATTTCAAATGAAGTAGAATTTATATAATTAGATAATATTATTTTATTTTCAATTTAGCTAACAATAAAACCTGAATTGAATAACAATCATACTGTGAAGAATCATAAATTAAACAGTCAGAATTCGGAAAAGCGATCACAAAATTCAAATTATTGGATTAAAACTGTTTCAGATGAATCTAACAATATTGATCCAACAAATGATTCTTTTATATTCATTAATATGAGTAAACTACTTGAACGAGAAAAACGTCATGTTCCTTCAGTGGCACATTATATTCTTTCACCATTAATAGCTAATCGAAAGAAAGATTCATACACTTATCCTTCATTGACGTCATCATCATCTTCAGCATCATCTTTGCCATTAACTTATAGATCACAGAATTCACGAAAAGAAAAGTTCACCAAATATGGGACATCATTAAGACCTAAAAAGCTAACAAGTCAATCATTTATCACATATAATGTTGAAAATGATATTTTTAACTTTGTATTTCAGTTTGTACGATATAATACAACTTCAGTAGATTTGATTACAGTAAGTCAGTCATATTGTTCATTTCATTTTCGTTGTTTCTAACAAGGTTTATGATGTTATACAGAGTCTGAACACTTCAAATATATATACAACTAACTATACCTTTAATAAAATCGAAACATTTACTAATTTTTCAGTTTTCTAGTCTCAGGCTTAAACAGAATGGTGGCTCAGCAGACAGGGTGTTCAGATCTCAGCCACTAAGTCTTAAACTTGTTGCCTGCACCAAATACATCTGTTTAAGTGACCGAGTTGTATCACAGTTACAACAGTTATTGTGTAGCTCAAAGCCAATTTTACGCGTGAGACTGCTAAACAAGATAACAGATAAAATTACCTGGGTTAATCGAGTACATTTCCACACGTGTTACATTTTTAACGAGTAGTAGTTTAATAAATGACCATACTATCGTAACCCTGTGGAATTATACTTGACTGATCGAATTATCTCTGCATAGTTGATATCACAAATAAATGCTAACTGTCAATAACTTTAATGCAGTCATCAGAAATTTGGTCACTTGAAAACAAACAACAATTATTCTATCGGTTTATTTCGCTAATTGAATAACTATCTACTTGGATGTATAAGACTGAACCAATAGATTTGTTTGTCACTAATTTTTTAATTCATGAATATAAATAAATATGCTTTTCTTATCTTATTGAGACAGTGAATTGTCTGACTCAGATATCCACAAACTAGTACAAAATACCTTAGCATAGAGAAAACAATATGTTACTTTTACTTTGTGTTGCATATTTTTCTAAAATATTCAAATAAAATTCAATATACGTAGAGTTGATCTTTGTAGACTGACTATCTCGAGAAAATTATTCGAAAGTGATTTGTTTTCTTTTTCTCACAAAAAATGTATACCATCTGTATATATTGCATAAAACAATGTATCTCTATAGACGCCTTGATTGATTTTCATCATTTCAGAAAAAATAACAAAACAAAATGTCTCCAATTTATTAGTTTTCCAAAATGGGATAAAATAAATCGCACAATCTTGGGTAAGAGAATGTGTACAAACAATTTTGTTAAATTGTTCTTATTTCCATTGATGAACAAGTGAAGGTGATTTGCGAAAAACAACTTATTGATCATTATTCAATAGGCTGATTGGTTGGATGATAATTGAATAAAAATGGATAGATAATAAATAATTGAATGAGAAAATAAGAACAACACATAGTACAAATACATATCGGATCTTACAGGTGGATTAATAAAATTCAGATTTATATTAATGATAAGATAAGAATAACAAAAAACACAAATGATGCAATTGGGAATTTTATATTTTCTGCTTAATTTATTTTGTCTGACAAAATGCATAAAACTAGACGAAGTATTTAGAGTTAAAAATTGAATTAAGTAAATAAAAATACTTTTAGAATTGATCAAAATGAATATATATACAAACTAAACTAACTTTTAAAATGAAAAAAGTCCCAGATACCAGATTTAGTCACATATGATGGTAGTTAGTGTACACTATGAATATGTTTGAATATAGGATTAATGGATACTGAGTGCTATCTAATTGTCAATAGTTTTCCAATTGATGTCAGTTCATAATGGAAATTTGTTATTTTAAATAAAACAAGATTAGTAATGGGCATATAGTTACTTATGTTAAAGCGATAAAGAATTTAGCATTTTTCAAGTTAATGTTTTTATTTTTCGTTTAGGGAATTTAACACCTCAAAACTCCTTTTTATTAGTCAGGTTATATAATAATCATAAATGTAACTGATATTTAACACGAAGTAACTGACGTCGATGTCACTGTCGGTTGTAGTGTTAATGACTGATCCAGAAAGATACTGATATCGATCCGTCAAGACAACTACATCTGTAAAGATAACTTGATGAAATTAAAGAGAATAGAAATATGTTAATCAGAAGATCTATGAGTTAAAGTGTACAAAACAGTGGTCCAGAGGTTAGGCGTTCGCTCGCAAGATCGGAAGTCCTGAGTTCGAATCCTGTGAGGTACAGGAGTCGTGGATGTACACTGTTGATGAGTCCTATACCAGGACGAAACGGCCATCCAGTGCTTCGAGGTTTCTAATGTTGGTCTAACAATGACTGATTGATGATTTCAGTCTGTAAAAAACACTAATCTGCATAACTCTAATTGAAGATTAACAGTTAATTAGAAAATTAATCTATTTCTGAAAAATCATAAAATTTTTCTAATTACTTAACTATGTGATTATTGTTTTTGATAAGCAATAAACAAATCATTTTGTTTATGTTCTTCTATCATCTTTTATGTATGGATTAGTTTCATTTATTGTTTAAGAATTAAGTGAACTAGCATTTTTTTTGCTTCTATCAGTATTCATTTGTTTAAAGCTATGAAATGTCAATGAACTTGATTATATCAGTGTTTGGTTTTCAGGTCGATTCAGTGTAAAATTAAATTAATAGGATTTACTTGACTTTAATTTATTGACACCCTGTGAGGTCTATCCAAAGAGGTAGGTGTGACAGATTATATCACAAAATATATTCTAAGTTAAGTCACATCACTCTTAGGCAAATGTTCTATTAATTTTTGAAAAATATTCGACTGATCAGTATCGAAGTCATATTTTATGCGAAACAATTATGATCATATAATATCTAGAAATTTAGCCGGTAATATAAACTGTTATTTACTCGTTTGTCTTGATAGCTAATTCCTAATGTGGAATATTAGTAAAAAACACAAGATTAACTGCGCAAAGTAAGTATATACATACTTCAAGGCGCTTTAACAATCATAAACAGTTTACATTTACAGCTAGTGGTCAGGATAGGAAATAACAAACACTAAAATACATAAGGGAATCATGTTGAAACAAGTAGTGAAATCAGAATGATAATAAAATAAATGAGTAACATAAATTCAGGTTGAAGTTGATGCAAATACATAAGAAGAAAGCTCATAGTCTTTTAAAGTGGAAAATTTATCAAGATATTAATATACTAAAATGATTATTATTGGTTTGATGAGAATCATGATTATCATAACTTAGTAGTGAAATTTAGGTAGATTCAATATTCAATAACCAATTGCAATATAATTTATTTTCTACTAAACAAAAGTAATCGATTTTTTTTAAAAAAGGCCTTCAATTTAATACGTGAATGGGAACGTTACAAAACAGTACAACAAGTACAAGTACAAAGAGAGCAAAAATTGAAAATGTTACGTCATAAACAAGAACACAGACGTCTTGATGAATATTATCGTTATTTACGACATTTTTCAACAATGCTTACCAATGAAAAAGCGAAACAATTTAAAAAAGCACAAAATTTTTATGATTTCAAGAAAATTATCACTGGTACTAAAGGTGTTAAGACAGATTTGAAAAATAGTGGTAATCATAAAAACAAAGTGGAATATCATGAAAAGTTAATGAATTCACGTTTTGATTCATCGTCACAAATGGAACGACAAAAAATTCATGAGTCATATTCATCTTCAAATTTAAATGATATGCAATTTTCCGGTGGAATAGGTGGTGGAATATTTGTGGGTAGTTCACGACCGAGAAAGATAAACAGTCGTGAAGGTCGTGCAATCCTATCAGAAAGTAGCAGTAATAATAATAATAAACAAAATTCCTTGAAAGTAAATTTAGCAACAGAATTTTCACATATTTTGAATAAAGCTAATGATCAATTATCAAAAGATCTACAATCGAATGAAATGAAAATTGATTCTGGAAGCTACCTCAACGAAGAGTCGTGTAAGTTATGCTTTAATGATCATGATGATGATAGTTTCATTCTTACTTGTTTACATATTTCGGGTTCAATAGTTTCTACTTATACGATGATCAATGTAAAATCTATTGTATGAAATGAAAATTAAATTGTTAGATATAGAATAGTCTGCTTATAATTAGGAATTTCAATTATATATCAAGAAGTCGGAAATAAATTTTATCACTTTATGCGACATAGAGCTTTAAAGTGAAATTACTTAACATTCTGTCTCATTACCTTAATGTAGTTATATTTCTTACAAATAGGTTAAATAATATGGGTGTGAGTTTCAAGGAATTCGATCATCATCTAGGTTACATACCAATTTGCTGTTTATAGCTGCCCACAGAATATTATATACGATTACATAGTGAAAACATTATGACAATGTTATCCCAACTATGTTTTTGACATTTACCTTCTAGGGATGTCATTTGAAAAGTAAAACAGTCAACAGTAACCGCTATAGTTACTGAGCTGAGATCAACGACTAAAGATAGAAAGTGCATTACATTTATGAGAAATTTAGTACCGTAAAGTGTATATAAAAAGTGTAATTGTAATGGTCAAGATAATTTAAACAGCACTGTGATGTTGTTCGGTTCGACCTTGAGACTTTAGGATCTAGTAGATAGCTTCGAAAAACTTACAATTGTAAAGTTTCCAAAACATAAATGGCCGTAAATTGCATTTTTTTTAAGTAAATTCAGTTGTGAATAAAACGATTTGACAAGATTCTCATGTGAGTCATTTCCGTCAATCGGAATCATAAATCTTATCATCGATTGGGTCTCTGTGACTAAATCTTCCAGTATTATAATTCGAGTAAAATGTTCCTGCAAAAGATGCAACTAAATATTAAATCTTTTCAAGTTAAATTGTGGTTCACATTTTCCTTTTATTAACTTTTCATCAGGAAAATTATCTTAGATATATATCACTAAATCACTAAAAGTAATCTGACATTAACTAAAATCATGAAACAATTGACGTTAAGTCATCACTGGAAGTCCGAAAGAGTTGGGCGGCCGTTTTGCTTTAGTGTGAGGCTTGCGAGCGGCGTTATCCACGAGTCAGCATGCGGAACTCAAACCTAGGACTTTCAGGTGCGCGCGTAAACTTTTAACCTCTGACATCTTGGAATAATTAATATAAGTTCATTTTTTTAGCATTTGCTATAATTTACCACTATCAATTATCATAGAGTAATAGTTAAAATTTAACTTTATATTTATCCTATAGATTCGGAAGATGAATTAAGACGAGCTTTTGAAAATTATCAAGAATTCAAAATGACATCTTGTCAACCACAAAATCAGACATTATGCACAGAAGCACTTCTTCAATTAAGTCATCATAATCAACAACAACAACATCAACAGCAACAGCATCAAGTACCAAATCATGATCATCATCATCATCATACAGCACTTATTATACCACGTGGTATACACATTCAACGATGTGGTCAACAAGAAATTTCACGTTGTAATCATTATACAAATTCATTTACAAACTATGAAGAAGAATATGATTATGAAAGATCTGAATTTACACCAATCTCATCATCTGCATCTAATGGTCAAGCAAATTATGATGATCAGTATTTAGATATATTAAATGATCGTAATCAGTATACATCATGTAATTGTGAAACACTTGAAGAAGAATGTTTACCTGTAAAAGTTTCATTGAAAACATTTGCAGTTGCTGTAATGCAAGTATGAATAATGATTGATACTCTTCTATTTTTTTTGCCTCATTCTTATTTTATCAATCAAACGTATATTTGAAAATCTTAGCTTATTGATTTTCAAAATATACAATCTTTCTATTGGCTAGTAAGGTTATGAAAACTATGAAATTAGTGATTCGGAAGTACATATCAACTCTAGAATGCAGCTACAACTAGCTGAGTCTTGGACCAGGGAAAAAACGCGCGTACTTGATCACTATGCTAGTCAGCATTCAGCTCTATTTCTAATGCCTGTGACTTAATGGAAAAGTCTAGGCAATGAATTCAGGGTGTACATATACCTAAACAGACTGATCACGTACAATCCTAAACAGTGATGGGAAGATTTAGACAATCAATGCAAATGAATGAATGAATGTATGGTGCATGATTGTGATTCAGTGACTTTTTCTGTCACATAATCTAGATCTGTCAATTATAGTTCATAGTATAAATACTAAGCAACTCTTTATGGAGAATATTTCTGGTATAAAATTTTATTGAGAACTTTTACTGGAAACTTGAATAGTGAAGTAATCACTTTATTTGAGCTCTAGAAAGTTGTGAATTTAAATCTTCATAAAGTATGATTTTCTTCCACAATTATATATTCATTTAGTCGAGATTAATACAGATTGTAAGTTATTTATACATTGATTTACATCATGTTAATATCGAAGTACTATTAATTGCTTAAACTGTAAATAGACAATTTTTAACTGACTGACTTTCTTAAAAAAAAAATTTAGATTGTACCTTTTGGAAATTTTACTCATTCAACCGAATTGATTGCATTGACAAATCATCTCCAGTGTGGATGTCAACCACGGTAAGTTTAATTTTTTAAAATAAATTCGATTAAATGAAAATCACCCATATAAATAAGTTTATCAAAGAAATATTAGGATTGACGTTTATCAACCTACTTTTATTAGATTGAGGATAGATCAGTCTTATCCATTACAAAATACTCCTCTATTATGAAATGACATATCAAATATCCTCTGCCTTTGTAAAAATGTCTTTGGATATCCTAAGAAGTCACACTTTTCATGTATCTTGGTGTTTCATACTTTATCGACTCCGTGTAGTAGCAGTGCCATTGCTATTGGCCGACCAATCCATTCGGAATAGAGGATGAGGCCCCAAAATAGCCATGCAACAGAGCTGCAAATTTTCTCCGCCATCTTAATAATGGATTCATACATGTACGATCCCTACTCAATCTACAAGTGCACAGTCACGATTTGGTCACCATCCATTGTTATGGCACAAGTTTGGTTTCATGTGATCGCGCAATTCGGTAAGTACATCCACAGAGAAGGCAACATTAATGAAGAAATCAAGAAGTGACAACATAATGACTGTCAAAATGGTTAGTGACAACAAATATGAATGATTGGGAGTAAAAGGAATATGTCTATGAAAATAGCACCGTTCATCAATTAACAACTACGTTCGGAATGACTTGGAATGGTGGGCGTTTACGTATTGTTCCGTCGGCCGTATACTTAAAGTAGCTTATTTCATTCATTTATTGGAAAAACGATACATATGTATACATACATATATGAATTTATCTTTAAATTTCTTTAGCAGTTCATTTTTCTTTTAGTAAACGATTATTTGAAAAGTAAATAGTATTTTATATGTCGTTTACACTCCGAATAATACTCATTCCTAATTGTTACGCATGCACGTAAACACGTCATTTTGATATGCTTGAACTATTACGAGTTTACCTTAGACGGAATACGAGAGTGAGGATCCGACGACATGACATGCTACTCTAATCCGATTATCTGAACCCCCATTAAATAAAAGAAGAAGACTTGATATGAAGTAGAATCCTTATTCTACAAGCATCCAGAAAGTACGAGGTCCGAGTCCAGAAGAAAATCAGGATCCCGGACTAAGGATCCGGGTCCAGGTCATAAAACGTTACAGATAATGCGTATTTATGCATTTACGTTGAACATGAAACAGCACCAAAGTCTGTGACATTAACAGTTAAGTCAAACAATAGGACACAAAATTTGAAGTGACACTGAACTTCAGAACGACCAATAAGAAACAACATTGGGGTACGTGACATTGATATCTAGGACGACCATAAAATTGACCAGTAGGAATCAACCAATAGGAATTGACCAATATTTCTCTAAGGATATTTGATGAATATCCTAACACTAATGCTCCAAATTTCGATAGTATAATTTTCTAGGTTTTACTGAACTCCAAAATTATTGTGTTCAATTCTTTACTGTTTATGTATTTAACTAATTTGCCAGGAAATGAATGTTTGTGTTTAAAAGTTCAAAAATCTATCTTTTGTTACATAGATTAATATTGTCTATTCATCTACGATTCAGCTTGTTGTTGGCTAAATAGAGAATAATTAATTTAGGTCATGTTGTAAATATAGGAGAGAAGAAAATTAAAATGTTTGCACTAACGATGTCTATAATGAAATAACCACACAACCATTCTCAGTTTCAAGACAATTTTATTCATTAAGAAAATTAACCCAAAGTTTTCCTTCGTATTATTTTTGAAAACGGCATAAATAAAATTTATGTCTGTCATTGCGTAGACATATTACTTAATTTCCTTATAGTACCCAATCTTAATAAATCAAAAGTGAAGACCATTATTTATTAATAATATTGAGAGTCAATAAAAGTTGATGAGAAGTTGAAAAATGCTACTAACCACCAGGTCTACTCCTATTTATTTAATATCCGATAGATTTTGTTTGAATTTCACAAGAATTTTCTGATTTTCGTCTATGAGAAAAGTAACAAATCTACAATCATTACAATTTGCAAGCTAAGCTTTTCCTTTCTTAATAACAATTAAAACTTAGTTATTTAGAAATATGGAAATGATGAAAAAATATACTGACTGGTTTATGTGTTCATCTGTGAAGAAATAAAAAAGATGCATAAACCAATGCTTCATATTACGTCTCATTTTTTGCATCATTTATCATTTCATTATATTACGAAATACAAATATAAACTATAATGGTTTTTGAAACATTGTCTATCTTCAAAATAACCATGAAATATTTTCAATTTTTATTTGCACTTAGTAGTGAACCTACAGCTTGAATATTTCATGTTAATGTAAAGCTTTTAGTATGTTTTTTTTTTCATGAACTAGAAGTTGATGTAATGATGGCGCCTATAGTAGCAAACAACCTCTTCATAGTTGAATCCTTTAGTTCAACTAATGTAAAACCGTTAAATAAATCCATATTTTAGCTATATATATATTGTAGCTGCCATTTTAAAGTGTTTTGTTGTATGGTAAAACAAATTTCACCATGATAATACTATTTTTATGTTTAAAATAAACTGTTTCAAAGAGTGATATTACGTTTAGAATAAAATGTCAGTGAGCTTAAAATTGTAGTCCTGTTTCACAAACAAACACTTGTCAAGTAAACTTAACAGGATCAAAATGATAGAAAATGTAACAAATTAAAAGATGTAAGGGTATCCTTATTTTTCAATAAATTTAAATTCAACTTTGATTTTAATTACTAATATGAAGTTATATAGATTATCATATCAACAAAGATATTTTCTCCAGCTACAGTCTGATTTATGAATTAGCTCATTAAGGAGACAATATTTACTAATAAATATTCAATCATTTTAGTATGATGCCTTGATGTAAGTAATTTCATAATATGACTTCGTCAACAAAGATATGTAAAAGTAATGGGTTTAGGTCATTTTCATTTAAAACTTAAGTTTTAAAGCAGTGAATCTTTGCTGTTGTAAGGTTATTATGAAAACGATAGTGATACTTTTGTCTACCTTGTTAGTACTGGACATTTCAACATATTTTTTGGACAGAGAACATTAATTTGTATTGCTTATCTGACCGAATGGTTTCTGATCGAAAAACTAGACGAAGAATTCACAAGAATCTATTTAATGGACACGAATTTATCAATCATAAGGAATTGTAATCGATAAGCGTTTATTATCCAAATAATTTTATCAATTACAGTTAAAATATACAGATAGGTTTAGAAAATATTGAGTATTCAAACATGAGGTGGAAGATAATTATTTTAATTTCAAAATCGAGCTTAACATATGACCGATAGTTTCCTTTTTACATGATGTAATGGCGATCCATATCAGTTACCAACTTCACTAACTTTCACTCATTTCGATTTTGTTTTTTCTCATATACTCTACAACTGAATTATAATGAAAATGTTAGCTGTAGTAATCGACTATGTATTCCTCCGCTGAAATTCATTATGCACACATTTTCCGATTGTGCATGTATATGCCCACCGAATGATAAACGATGTTTTGAATTATTGGAAGGGAAACGTCAATTCACAGCTGAAGAGTAAGTGATTTTTTACTGGGAAATTGTTTTTAGTAAAAAAATCAGTTTTAAGACATTCATAAAAGTGATTTCTCTTTCTTATTCTACTACTGGTTATATGATGATATGGAGAACAGCTCAAATAGCCCATCGGTAACAGTTGTGAATCCATTTACTTACGATCGTAAATATTCCTTGTGAGTGAGTATCAAGGAACTTAAAAATTAAGTCCATGTTTTTCTACGGACTCTCTCAAATAATCTGACAACAATACATGAAGCACAAATTAGTTATTCGCTTAAAGTAGTGACAACATTACAAGTTGATCTGTAAAATTCTATGAACACTATAGGCCTGACAAACACGGCACTGAATACAACCCTATGATTATTTAGTGTATTTAAAAAAGTCTTATTGATATTTCTTTAACTTTTGGCGTGTGAACTCATGATCAGCTAGAAATTACATACGTTTCAGTAAATTTATGCCTAGGTAAAAACCCTTACTGATTTTTATTCTAATCAAACCACAAATTAATGATAATTCTAACATATAAATCAAAAAGAGAGTTGTTTAACTAACATCTTAATGCAATAACATTACATTGAAATCATAAATCGATCTAAGTTAGATTACCAACGTTTGAGGGTAAGCGTTTCCGTGCACGGAGTCGTAGGTGCGCATTGCTGAAGAGTCCTGTACTACAAGGAGACGGCCGTCCACTGCTTCCACATTTTATTTATCGTGTTGTGATTTCCAAGAAATTCCACAATCTGAACAATCCTCTACTGAAAACAAAATCACTTTTGAAGATATCTACTGAATATCATTTACGTCTATATGTCTGTAGTTATTTACATTGTTTAGGTACTACAGAATGACCTATGTCCCGTTGTGTGGTGCTACTCTATTATAAATGACCACTTTCTCAGTCTGGTCATTAAACTAAATGATTATATGTAAACGAGTAATTGTGACTTTACGTTTTGCAATTTTGCATACTTCAGCAAAAGATGAAAATTTGACATTTGTGAAATTTTTTCTCCATTTAAAAGTTAAGCAAACTGATTAAACGCTGTAGTTAGAAGACCTGAAAAAAAAAAGATTATGAAAGTATGTCTGTCAATAAAATCTAACCGCTGAATTGTAAACAAAGTCACCTTAAAATATGATTTTGTTGGAGGATAGCCTTGTGAAGTTACAGTTTCAACATGGCATTTATGAAATTGTAATGATTGTAGTATTGATAACACTAACTAAAACAGTAACAGTAAAAGCATTTAATTTGTTCAAATAGAAGCATAGTTGTACGTTTTTTTCGAAACAAAACACCAAGTTCATGTTGTTCATGTGTTGTAAGTAACACTCAAAATTTTCTTTCTTTTACAGAATTCCATTACCTTTAAATGGTTCTTACATCTTACCACCTTGTCGTTACGGTGTGATGGATGATTTACACTTGTATCATAGACACTGCCCTGGACCAACAAGAAATACATTTCCAATTAAATGATATGAAAAAATTAAATGAAATTAACGGGAAACATTTCTTTCAACTACTACTAGCCATGTGTTAAGTAGTTTAGGAGTTATATGTGGTTTTTAGCGAGTAACCTACGGAAACGAAGTATAAGAAGACAAAATCGCGAAATATATCATATTTTTCTATTTTTTACAGTTGTCGTCTGCGTTTTCATTGAACTTATAGCTATCACTCTGATTTATAGATATATACAAACTAGATATCAACACAACTATATGATATTTGTCATTGTCTCTACTGTAAATCAAAATATTTTGCTGAATCATTAAAATCGTATTCGCTTTTTAAATGTCTATAATATCATTATCCATATTTTACTGAATGATTATCTACTATCTAAATTTGTTTCCAGTAATCTGATAAGGATCATACTAAGAAATGTTTGCTATGAAAGCAACAGTTATTTATACTGCAATATCGATGTAACTGTTATGAAATCCATAATCCGAGAATCACAATTACAATGTAACTAGCTCAGTGTGACATCTTTGTACTACTGTCTTCATAATGTCTTGCTATTCATTATGAATAAGATATTTTGTACTGAAATTATTGTAATTTACTAATCAACTAAATTACATTGTAAACTAGAACCAGTAAATCTGTGGATCAAAAAGTATCGTTTCTAATCGCTGAATTGCATAAGTTTATTGAGTGCACCAAAAAGTATATGCTTCACTGAATGTAAATGAGACTGTAAAGAAATAAAGGATGGAAATCGTGTATGATAAAATTGAACGGAAGTAATCGAAACTAGTGCGCTCGACTAATTATGACAATAATAATTAAAATAATAGGGAAGACGATTCAGTTCAGGCAAATACAACCAGAACGAATTTTTCCAGCTGGAGGAGTTTGCCTCACTTATATAACGAAAGTGAAGGAAAATACTGCAGTCATTAACTTGGTCGGGAACGGAAGTAGACTTATCTCCTGATAGTTGTTGCATAGGTGACGCAATCCTTTCGTAGAAAAACGGATGACTATCGTTTCATGATGAAATATCTATTAAATTCCAAATATTGGCCAACAACTTAGTCAGTTTCATAACCAGAAAGTTTCCACTATCTTTAAAAATGACTGAAGGTGATTCATCTGGGCCTGAAGATTGGTAAAGCTTCAGGAGTTAACATTCCTGGGGATTTCAGCCTCGTTCGGTGATCAGTTATCATCAGCCATGGAGTAAGTAGACAGTCTGATCGATTATGTTGGAGCAGAAGACCAAATGGACTGTTCCTAAAGAAAGTCTGGCCAACGTCTAAGGCGTCTCTGGATGTTACTGATCAGAGTTCCACCAAATTCACAGATCGTTTAATTCACCAAACGTCTTGCTCTCCGTGGCTTCCTTGAGTTAAAAGAGTTCTCCGCATCCACCAGATCCAACCGGTTAGTTCAAATCGTTAGTATGCTCCAAAAAGCAGGTGTCTCAGTTTGTAAGCAAACTCTGGATAACTACGTCTATAGTCAAACCCGCAGCTACCTAAATTAGACTGATGTACCTGAATGAGTTTTAAAGAGCATGCAGATGCATAGTTCGCATAAACGGGACGTTTCGCGAAACCTCAAACCACCTTGCCCGCCATTTTTATACCCATATAGAGCTCATCTATACATTTCGATGTGTGAATACCTAGCTTTAAACCTAGTGTATTATCAAGCCTACATGGCCTGTTCTAACTTCTCGACATGCCAATGAATTCAGTTTTCACAAGTCGTCATTCATTGGTTTTTCGACTCCATTATTTATGCAAATAAAACCTGGGATACTCATATTTGAGTATGTATGTTCCGCTTACTTCGCTCATCACACGTCTAGCTTATTTCTCCCTGATTATAAATAGTTAGTCACACTTCATCATCGCCTCCGCTTCACTTCGCCCTTACACTTTACATTCCTATGCCTGCCTGCATACATAAGAGAATACAGTAAGTCTATCCAACTCAGACCGTATTGTACTTTGAATTACTGCCGTTACACAAAGGATATTCGTCTAAGGGTGATATATGGAAATTAGATGGTAGGTTTATCTCACTAGCATGAATAACCATTCATCAGTATCGGAGTCAAACCATGGGCAGCTTACCTAGCTCGATTTGATATTTAGTCGCAACTAAAGCTGCAATCAACTTGCAAACCGATCTGTTTCGGAGGATGAATTTGTTGGCCACTGAAACTTAAGGTAGGACTAGCGTAAACCAGATCATGATCAATGTTCAGATAAGTAATCCGAAAGGAGTATCAGTCTTGCACACAACTACGTCAATGGTAGCTTGACGACATGTGGTAGCTCTGTGTTCAGGCTTAAGATGCAGAGTGTAGTTTGTACTAATATTTCGAGGCCATAGGGCTTATCCCAGCCTTTGGAAAAACTAATGAATTCATTCTTCTCGAGTTGTACACACGTCTTTCAATCATGTCTATCATTCACTTATAACTTTTTTTACTTAAGTACTTACGTGCGTTGCCTTCTTCACTAATAACATATCTACCTGGTATTTGTCTGGCTGTTTATACCTAGAAAGCTTAATCACATTGAGTAGGCTCTTTCGCCTTTTTCACTTCGCTTCGCTTTTTCGATTTTTATCTTCATGTCTATCTGTGTAAACGACTGCATGAAATAAACTCATATAACTGGGTCCATATTTAGCATCATATTACCGCAGTCACACAAACAGGGTTCGGCTAAAAATGATATACAGAAATTAGATGAAAGATTTATTCCATAGAGTATTCAGTTTTTCTTTTAAATCGGAGTCAGATTTCGGGCCACTAAAAGTGGAAGGACAACAGTTAGCATATCGGCCATTACTGTGCTGTTAATGCTTACGAAAAATAGTTTGCAGTTCTCAAAGTTACGAAATAAAACCACCGTTATCTGACCTGCAAACAAAAAGTTATCAGTGGCTACCCAGACGACTACTCTCTGTGCCAAGATGCTCTCTCTAATCATTCAAACCTCCGGCTTGCTACACAATACTCTTGAAACACCCAGGGTTCCTAAATAAACGTCCGTAAAACAAGCCTTTCAAAGCAACAATCGAGGAGTGAATATATAGTACTTTGTTAGAGTCCTAAATACTGGTCCCGGATAGACGGACCACGAGGTTCAGGCTTTCCGAATATATAACCAAACCTTATTTGCTGTCCGATCTGCATAAGTGTGAGTACGTTGTAGGAGGCTAGTTCGGTTTGTGTACGTAGTTTCAGAAAGGTTGGCTCAGAATTAGCACTTGGTAGTAGAATTCAACTTTCTATTAGTTAGTGATGTGAGATCGCCTAAATAGGACTGGATTTATACCAGAGACAAGCTACTTCATGAGTTAGGAAACAAAATACAAAAACTGGGAATCAAAGGGAAGTGACAAATAGTGGTATAATTTGCAACAATGAAGAATAAATACAGAATAATCACTTCACTTCTAGTCATCATTCACTTTGAGTTGGCTTTGATATTGCCCAAAATGAAACGATAATGGAGTGAAAATAAGATCAAGAATATCTCAGTCTTCGCTCATATTTTGGCATCAGCAATATTGAAGTTCGACCTCCAAGTTAAATCTTCCCCAGACCAACGCGAACAAGACTGACATATACAGCCTAACTCTGAATCACGAACTCCAAGATTTAGTCATTCATCACAGTACAACTTTCTAATCCTTAATCTTACACAAGACTAGACTCATATGTTTGGATTTCAGCCACATGTTTTATGAGAATGGACTGATAGAAATAATCAACCGATTAAATCAAAATCGATGATGTTAGAATTGAATCTGAAACTTTAGAATCAAACGTGGAGTTCTTCATTTAGTAACTTACTATTCCACTATATTTTTTGGTAGGCAGTGAATAAAAACAAAATGAGTTTTGTTTAAAGTATATACAGTAGTTATAACAGAATAGATGCGTTAGAAATCACTTACAAGTGTTTTATTAGACATAAGTGTTAGTTCTTCTGACTGCGACTCGTGTTGCATTTCAACCTTTACTCAGAAGTCGTATAACCATGTCTTGTATTGCTTAGTCATTCAACATTAGTTATTGTTTACTTTTGTAATTTAATTTCACCATTGCTTGTCGCCAAGCCATTGACGACCAGGTTGTGTTTGGAATATCGGTAGCAAACTGCACATATGTAACATATTTTTCAAACTATTTTAGGTTTAAAAACAAGTTTTACAACCCCTCAAGTTCTTGCAGCTTAAAACCTGCACTATTATCAAATAATGTATATCAGAAAGCAATAAACAGTATTACTAATACTGTACTTAAAAACCTTGCTACACGAAATCCCTTCCCGCATAACGGCCACCAAACAGAAAAAAAAAACTCGAATGATCGCATGCGAAAATATGCTTGTACAATAGTCGGGTTATCCAGTTACATAAAACCTAAATTGACTAGTTTTGGTTACAAATACACAGCAAGGCATATTAAAAGTGAAGATACTTGATCCAATGCCTGCATCTAGTTGTTCTCAGTAAAAAAATGGAACTAGTATCACCACCGAAGTCTCGAAGAATTATTTAGTTTGGGGATCTAAGTACCACTGAAAAATGATGCAGATGGAACCAAACACGTAAAGATGATTGCTGATGACACAATCATGCCTGAAACGCTGCATATGGCTAAGAAAACTAGACGATAAACGATCTACGACTCTCCTAGTAAATCCAGGTGATCTGGTCCGTTTAAATCAGTCATTTTTCATTCTCATTAGGTGTTTAACTACCACTATTGTCCTCACGCGTAGGCAGATAAACTATGAATTGGTGCAGTCGAGTGGCTAGACCATCATCCATTGGACACTGCCAATCATCTGGAACCGTACTAAAGCAACAAGATTCAAGCGCAAGAAACTGATTGGTTTATACTAGCTCGTTAAAAAGACGTTGGATGTAACTCAGAAATTATTTTTATAAATATTTTCTCTTCGTTGAGCTTAGTGCTTATTGTAACCATAGTTATCGCATATTGGACATTTTCTATGCAAAGAATATGTATTGGAGCGTAACGGTGTGATTATCACATGAGTCGTTTCCTCCGGCTTTCTCGCACTTGTTTCTCTTTTAGTTTTGTGGTTCCTTAGTATCAAGTTATAAAAAGCATAATAATCAACTTTCGGATGTCTAAAATAAACGAACATGAGAAAGATTGTATCCAGGGAAATAAACGTCAAAAAATTAACGAGCTCGATGATATTGTGGTGGTACGTTAACATACTTCTTATTGTTTGTGATTCAAGGATATTACGGGTTATTCGTTATCACGTGTACGAGCAGCTTTTACCTACATTGGTATTATATTAACCTGTGGACTGTTAAGACTAGTCTTTCATTGGTTTCCACATTGGATGCTAAAGTGCACGAATAAGAAGTGTGCTTTAATAAATGCTGAGAAAATTCTTGTAAAAGTAAGTTTTTTTCCTATGTCCTGTTTAGGCTTCATTAGCCTGGGACTTCGGACACAAGCTACTTATTCGATTTCATTTGCAGGATGCCTACGGTATTCACTACATACATGATGTGGTTGTTGACAAAATTGAAAAAACAAAGTAAGAATAACATAAGCCTTCACACTTATTTCAGCAGTAGTCCTAAGGTCTCGTATGTTCGAAAACCTGTATCATTCATGATGTCGCAAATGGCATGTGCTGGAAAAGTTAGTATAAATTAGTAGTAATTCTGTTATTTAGGATGCTGAGATGATGTGTTACTTTACCCATAAATGTTCAAAATACGTATGGGACAATGAGAATAATCGTTTTGAGAACCCCAGGTAAGATTTGATTCCGTCTTTTGACGTTAGCGACTGCAGTAAATTTCGGTTGTTGAATAATACTGTTTGTTTTTGATTGGAAATTTATTTGTCTCGACGTATTTTCTAAACAGCTTTTCTGTTTAAGCTCTATCTCCTGCTTAATATCTCTGGTTTTCCCCTTCTCTTTTTAAGCTATGGATTGGTTATGTAAATGAAATATACCACCCAATAGAGGTGTACTTGAGTACCCATCACGCACTTATCCTACCTTCACAGTAGCTTGTTTATTTTTTGGCTGTGGGTTCGCTATTGTTTGGTTTCGTGTACTTTAGTCAGCATTTTACTAATATCTGTCAACTATGGGATAAATTTCTTTTCACCTAATTGTTTCATAATGGTTTTCTATTGCTTTGGTATAGGTATGGCGACATGAACTGATGTACTTACGTACGAAGTTCTGCGTTGCAACTGACTGACTGCTTTGGTATAGAATGCACATGCACATTTCCGTGGAGTCGAGCATTTGGAATTCATATACTTCTCGAGTATCGTTAAAGCTATCTGTCTCTTAAATAATTCCTAGGCTTTGTATTTGGTTAAAACCCAAGTTTTTCATATCTTTATCCAGGCAAAACGTCTAATAGTTTTAAAACTAGAAGGCAATAATAGTAATTACTGGTATGGTATTAAGGATACCAATTGATATTCGTCTGAATAAGAATATCGCTCCCTAAATCTCCTAACAAAGCGCCTCCAAAGTATATCATGTAAGCTGCTTGTTTATCGGTGCAATGTTTTTATTTGAAAGTTTATTTTCTAAATAATATCCGGCTTGTCATTTGTTTTTTCGTGCTTTCATTTGCTCGTTCAACTACAATAATTTTGATGGCTCATAAAGCTTTGTGACCAGTCGTTCTTTTAACTAACTTGACTCAATAAGTTGTCCTACCTAAATTTCTTGTGACGCGAATTATTCAATTTCTTTTCTTTTTATCCAAACATACGAAGCATAGTTGTTTTGCATTGTAATGCAGATTCCTAAATCGTGCAAGACATTGATCACATTCAATACAAGGGTTCGATAATTTGATTTGAGTACTGAATTGTGGAAAGTTGAATATGAAAATGAATGAATTTTTATAATACTCATGTCAGAAATCATTAATTTCGAATTCTCCGCAAACCTACACTTGTTCGGGTTACATTTTGTACCGCTGAAAAGTGAGTAAACAAGAGTGAGTAGGAGAAATTCAGATAAGCAGATATATTCAAGATATCTATAGTAATCTAAAGTAAACGGATGTATGTAGCTGAACAGCTATCACACTAGACCTTGTTTTTTACTATTACAGTACTCAAGCTCATTTATGATGACCCAGAGGATATTTATTAACAAGCAGGCTTGTTACCCAAGGTTCTCTGTTGCTAGACAAATCGTTTAGAAAGCAGTGAGACATCAAGTAGTTCATTTCATAATTGACATCCCTAGAAGTCCTACATCCTCATAAATCGTAAAAGTTACAAAATATAGTCCATAAAAGTGGAACACTGATTTATACATTTTCAGGACTATTGGTAAGTTTCAAAATTATAGGGCTACTACTTCAAAAGTAAAACATTAAAGGTTTGATATGATCGGTTTGAAAAAAACTCTTCTGTACCCAAGCTCAAAGTCATATGTTACGTATGCCCAACGACCGACTGCCTCGACAAGTGATGTCTCATGTAGGAGTAAGCTGGTAGAGAGTTACAGGCGACCATACCAAAGCGACACAAATCCATGGAGTCACTGACAACTGAACTGGGCTATGTTCGTATGTGTAGAGTACCAGGTTTGGGTCCGTGAGACAATCACAACGGATGGTTAGAGACTTTGCATGATGTGGCTCAAAATCGTTTGCAATGGCGCAGGTGCATCCACTTTTCGCCTTCGCTCAAATTCTAATCTTCTAAATTCCTTATTACCATTTTCCTCTTTTTAAGTTAATTTCATTGGATTATTCTCGTGAATAATATCCTCGAACCTTAATCCCTATTACCGCCAATAATTCTACTACATCTACTACTGTGGGATTCGAATTGATAATTCTATCTCTATGTGCTAACGTATTCAGACGAAGCTTCATGTGTATCTAGCAACTGCTACATCGCTAACTGGTAAAGCATTGGTCTGGGATGAGGCTAAGGGTCACCCAAAGAAGATATGATATTGCTTTGTATCGTGTCAGATGCTGTAGTCTTCTCGGTCTGAATCCGTACGAAAACAGTAATTTCTAGTTAAAGACATTAAGTAAATTGGTCTCTGTGGGATTAGCATTTCTTCTATCTTGGTTGAAGTACCTCAGGCTGCTTAGTCTTTGTTAGTAACTGTCAAGTTATTTCACGTAAAAAATAACCGTGACATTTTTTTATACTTTTGCAATGACCATTTGCAGTCTATAGATTCGACTTATCTCTGTTTACACTTTAAGTACAGGCTGAAAGATGCTAGCATGGAGATTCTGACTGATGAAAGCTGTAAACGTTTGTAATTATTAGATACCATGAGACCTAAAACAAAAATTTTGTTGCTCAATTTTTAGGGGTTGGCATGAAGCTTCATATGGAGAAATCTTGGAATGTAAACCTTTGACTAATGAAACAGTCCTCATGAATCGTGCGTTGTATGGAATAAATGAAATCAGTATTACACTTACTCCAATTGTCAAGTTACTACTTGAAGAAGTAAGTTAATCGGACTACACGTTGTCATAGTTACTAGATATATAGCTGTTATGTATTGCTTATTAAATTTCCTTTTTTATTTCGTTTGTCTTTAGTGCTTGAATCCATTCTACTGTTTCCAAATATTCAGCTTTATCTTGTGGTGTTCTGATGAATACTGGGTATATGCCTCTTGCATTATGGTTATTTCAGTTATGTCACTATCATGTCAAGTTTATGAACTACGTAGAGTAAGTAACTGATTTCTTATCCTAATAGTTTTTAATAACTGATGATCTGAGTTCGATGTACTAGTTCAATGAATTATAGAGGTGTTTGATCACCAGGATGTTGTTTGTCCACCGATCCTATCTACTATGGCTCACATAGGAAAGCGATGTCGTCAAACTATTTTTTAAGTAAGGTTTAGGGCTGAATACTTAGATAGGTTTTGTGCGGCACTTATAATTTCTATCTTTTAACATGTGGATCTGAAAATATTGTAAAAAAATGTGGATTTCAAGTAAGACCATTTATCCATAAAATTATGGGTTCCGCTTTCATTTCCTGACATTTGTTGGATTTTATTGATTAGTATTGTGTAGTAAGTTCACATCTTACACCATTACACCGTGAATTAATAACATGTCGCGTAATTCTTGATTGAATTTACGTGGAATTTTATATTTGAATGTTTTTTGGAGCGGTGTCAATAATGCTTTATTGGGATACTTGGGTTGCGCCATTAGTAATAAAATGCCTTTTTGTAGAATGAAAGGACTCTTAAAGAAACTATGTGCATATCGTCTTCTGTAATCGTTTGTCGAGAAGAATTTGGGGTTAAAGGTATGCACATGTTTTATTTCTCTGTGATAATTTTCATGACTTATCGCTTTACTTAAAGCCTATTCGTTTGATCGTCGATATCCATAGTTTTTGTTGCTAACGTTAATATACAGTGGCTTAGTGGTTAGAGGATCGGACCTTCAATTATTGAGTTGGTTTGAATCCTCCTGGGAGCATTTCGGTCCGAGCGACCGTGTAGTATTGCTGGTGCTTACAGAAAAAGTGTGCCTTAACACTGAATACATATACCTGTAGATGATAGATTGTTGAAAAATACAGTATTTCCCATACCATCTAACCTTGAAAAGCTCGTTCTGATTGCCTCAAGCAGTTCACTTAGGGAAGTATGTAGTTTACAACAATCAGTTGTACATAATAGGGCCTACCAGAAGTAGGTATCAGTTCAGGAGTAGAGATGACTTTACTCGCCTTTTAATGTTGTCAGATACCAACTAGATCCTAAAATTGACATTCGTCTGAAAGTGTCAGTTGGCGTCTAGTCACTCAATAGTTTTGCAGTCTCCAAAGTAACTACAGTGGTCTATGTGTTTAACGTTTTTACTTACTTTACTTACTTACGCCTGTTACCCCTAATGGAGCATAGGCCGCCGACGATTTTTCTTCAACCAACTCTGTCTTGGTCTTCGCTTTCCAGTTGTGTCTAATTTTTGTTCATTCTTATTATATCTTTTTCTGTTTCTCGGTGTTCCTTGTCCCTTCTCTTTTCCTTTTGCCTTGAGGGTTTCAAGTGAGGCTTGTCTCGTGACGCAGTTGCGTGCTTTTCGTAGTGTTTCCTAACCACTTTCACCGCTTCTTCCTGATTTCCTCCTCCACTGGAATCTGGTTTGTTCTCTCCCATAGTAAGTTGTTGCTGATCGTGTCTGGCCAACGAATCCGAAGTATTTTGCGAAGACAACTGTTAATAAACACATATCTTCTGGATGATGGCTTTGGTAGTCCTCCAAGTTTCCGCTCCATACAGTAGAACTGTCTTCACATTTGTATTGAAAATCCTGATTTTGGTGTTGATTGATATTTGTTTGGAGTTCCAGATATTTTTGAATTTTAGAAATGTAGTCCTTGCTTTGCCGATCCGCGCCCTACCATCTTCATCTCATCCACCTTAGTTGTCGATGATGCTGCCCAGATATGTGCTCTACCCACCATTTCGCTGTTCTTCAGTGTTGCTGATTACTTTGCCTTCCTTGCTTTTCGCTGGTCCTTCTGGTTTTCGATGGTTTCCGGCGAGCTTCTTTGTTGTTTCGTACAATTGTCTCATGTTTCCTTCTCTTGCAGACTTTTCCGCCGTTATTGCTAGGTCATCCACATATTTTCGTTTGTCGGCTCTGATGCTCTTCTTCACTTTCCTGTTTGCTTCTGTGTATGCAGCTTATGCCTTAACTTTATCTGCTCTTGTTTGGCTGACATTGATTGCTGACCGGTTTGTTGAACGCACATATGTTTGCAAATCTCTCACCGTTTTCGTTCCTTTCTCCCAGTCCACATCGTTCATGATGTCTTCATATCCAGTGTTGTCCATGCCAACCTTGGCATTCAGGTCTCCCATAAGAATCGTTAAATCCTTTGGTGAACATTTCTCGACCATTGACTGCAGCCTTTCGTAGAATTGATCTTTATCGTCGTCATTGTAGTCGTTGGTAGGTGCATAGTATTGGATGGCGTTCATTGTAATGTAATCGTTCTTTACTTTGAAGGTTGCGTTAATGATCCTATGTCCATGAGATTCCCATCCTATCAGTGCCTTTTGTGCTTGTTTGGACAGCATCAGTGCAACTCCTTGTGTATGTGAAGCATTTTCCTCTTCATGGCCAGAGTATAACAGCAGTTCCCCTGAAGCTAGTCTCAGTTGTCCTACCCGTGTCCAATGCGTTTCACTGATGCCGAGCACCTCGAGGTTGTATCTTTTCATTTCTGCAGCAACTTGAAATAGTCTTCCAGTCTCCCACAGTGTCCGAACTTTCCATGTACCTAAAAGATTGGTTGCTCTGGTTGTCAGAAGAGTCACCGTCCTCATGACTTCCGAGGGAACTTGGCTTCCATCACAAGACGTCATAATTCTTCTTCCAACTCCCAGGGCAGAGTTAAAATGGTTTGATTTGTTTTTTCTTGTTAGCGTTTTTTGGCAAATTAGTTTTTTTGGTTCGATGGGGGCGCCAACCCTCCTCTTTTATCCGGGCTTGGGACCGTCAGTAGCGCGGAGGTTCTACAGGCTGAGTTGTTTAACATTTTTACTCGTTATTATTAAAATCGATATGAAGGCAAATAAATTCTAGAATATCAACCTAAATTTCGCGAGTGGTAAGTCCATACTATGTGTTCCCATTAAGGGAATTTACACAGTATAACTAAGTTTATCAGATGTTTATAAAGTAGCAGTCTCGGGAAGGTAAGATCTAACCAGAAATACCCACTCGTATTCTTAAAACGGGTTAATCCTGGATACTCATAGGGATATTCCTAGAGAACACTAATCATTTTCATGGAATTGGGTAGCAATTTTTTATGAACCATTACATGACTACACTCAGAAGTGCCTGTCAAATTATTCGGCTATTCAAAAGAATTTATGATTATGCAAATTAGATGTCTATAACATATATCTGAGTATTTTGCAGACTTTTCCATATGTTTCATACACTGTTAATTTGCGTGTCAATGTTCTCGTTTGTACTGATTAACATCGATTGAGTTTGAAAGTTTCACATCCAGAAAGTAGAAATGCAGTTGCATAAATACTTTCCTTGTAAGATATTGGCATGAAGTGTATTTTTGAGAGCTAGCGATTGAATTGTCATAAAAAACAAACTTTCATCATGAACTGTGCTAATTAGGACAACAAGCTTCCATAGCTATGACTATAGAATCTCGTGTCATGGATGTATGCTGCGACTCCAAGGTCCGAATAAAATCATTAATTTGATTTCACCTTGTCCAGATAAAGAGCCGACTCGGTGTACGCTTTGTGTATCTGGAAACCACATTGCTGCTTCCCGTGGCCTCCCATGTAGGTATTGCATTAAGTTCTAGGGAAGAAGTGGCTCTCTTAGTCTGAATCCCAGTAGATAGTCACTTATGCGCTATCCGACTAAACAGGACAGTAAGAATTCTTAAATATAGGAAAACTCACCGTTGCCTCCTCATCGTATCTGCTTACGCTCCCACTGACTGCAGTTCAGACGACATAAAAGATAAGTTTTATAGAAACCTCTGTAAACTTCTCCAAAAAGTTAAGCGCTCTGATATAGTAATAATGGCTGGTGACTTTAATGCTCAAGTAGGTAGACTAGGTGAAAAAGAAAAACACCTAGGTGGATCTTATGGTGTCTCAGCTATCAGAACAGATACTGGCGACCGTCTGCTTCAATTGTGCTCAGATAATCACCTTTTTCTAGCAAACACTAACTTTAAGCACGAGGTAAAATATCTTTTGACCTGGTGACCCCCAAAGACGACCTAGCGATGAACCCAACTAGATCACATCGCTATAAGCCGTCGGCGGAGAGGCTCTGTTTAAGACTACCGCTAATTCAGGAGCACATGTTTAGACTCAGACCATGCTTTAGTGCGAGCGCGTATTTGTTTGCGTCTCACTGGACGCAGGAAACAAATCGTAAGGAAACCCCCTAGGGTTCTACTTAATGATAATAAAGCTAAGAATATATTTCAAAAACAACTAAAAAACAGTTAGGCAGCCATGTAGTAAGTGATGCCCACCCTGAGGCAGCTTGGAACGATATCAAAAAGGCTGTGGAAACAGCGGTGATATCTGCTAGTAAGGTAAACTATAGGGTTAGGGAGAAGCCGTGGATTTCAGTAGCATCTACCGAACTGATGGATGCTCGAAAGTTCATCGCGTCTGGCTGTAAGTACGATGAGGAGCGGAGTCAGCTTAGGCGCATGCTGATAAAAAGCCTACGCAATGATCGTGAACAGTGGTGCTTAGCGAAAGCAAGGGAGATGGAAAGGCGATGGCGATAGTCAACAGTAGACTACTATTCAGACTCATCAAGGTAACCGGTATAACGAATCCAACTGTTAGTGAGGCTATCTCAGAAAGGATGGTCTTATTAATCATTCTCAATCCAGGAGGTTGAATCGATCGGCAGAACACTTCAGGGATCAGTTCAACTGGCCTTCAGCCATGCTCCGGTTACCCCCGATCTTCAATCCTCCTGAATGGCAAATCGACGCAAGTCCTCCGACACTATGAAGCTACAGGAAATCTGAAACGAGGGAGAGCTGCGGGTCCTGATAGGTTGACCCCTGAGATTTTTAAGGTGGTGGTCCAGTTTTAACAGCTAGATTAACTGAGATCTTAGGTAGAATCTGGGAACTGGACACAATCCCATCCGAGTGGTCTCAATCCCTGATTGTCCCAATTTATAAGAAAGGACAAAAGTCTCCTTGTGAAAATCACAGGGGAATAAGTCTAACTAATATAGTTTCTAAATTGTTAGCCTCAATAATCTTTAGATGCTCAACTAGTGCTTGTGAAGAGCAGACTCGAGAAAACCAGGATAGTTTAAGACCTGGACGTGAATGTGTAGACCATATCTTCACACTAAGACAGGTCCTGGAACACAGACATAAATTTAGGCGTCCTACAATAGTTGTCTTCCTGGACCTTAAGGCGACATCTAACTCTGTGGGTCGTGAGGTTCTTTGGCAAAGTCTGTCATTGAAAGGTGTGCCAAATAAATACAAGCTCTACACTCGAACAGTACAGGTGGAGTCAGAGCTTATGGCGGACTGTCATCGGGACTGATTATTTCAAGTAATGTCTGTTAGGGTTAACCACCTCCATTCTTGTTTAACTTTGTCGTCAATGTGCTTTCAGAGATGACACCTATCGTCTAACTTTTCAGGAGTAGACCTGTAGAGTCTTCTGACTAGCCTAAGCAACAATGCAAGCATGTTCGGGATGCGGTTCTCCCCCCCCCCGAAATGCAAAATGTTGCTTCAGGATTGAGTTGCATCGGCACCTGAAGTAGTGACAGAACGTGAAGAATTTCAACCTGTTGACCGCTTCACTTATCTGGTCTGATGACTGACAAAATCTCAGCACGGATGAGGAATGCATGTCTGGCTAACATGAAAGCTCGAAGCACATTCGTTGTTATCAAGATTTAACATAGAAAAAGAACATTACGCCTTTGTATAGAAGAGATAGAATATTGTGTTGTGTAATCAGAGCACTGTGACTTTCTTAACTATTGAATATGCTCTTTACTTAAATATAATACAGTTATATGAATGATGCGCGATTTGAAAAATACTTATCATCTAATAATATATGATCTTATACTATGAACTAAGTCATAGGATTTGTGATATTTCCATTTTTATGATTTAACAAATTATTGATTGTATAGTTTGGTCTAACCATTCTCATGGTCAACCAAAGTGGTTATTTTACTTCATTTAGCAGTAGATATTCAAACATAATAATTCACTTATGTATTCACTTTTGAGAAGGAATGACTTGTAAATTTTTGTTTTGGTAGAATTCAAAGAAATAGATTCCGTTTCACTAGTTCCCGGTGATGTAATTGAGATTCCACGAAACGGATGTCTGGTTCAATGTGATGCCATTTTACTAGCAGGAAACTGCATAGTAAATGAAAGTACACTGACCGGTAAGTTACATCATAATAATGTTTCCGTAGAAATAGATGTACTCACGTGCTAATCAATGTCAACTATACCTTAATCTTTTGTATCTTCGCATAAATTTTATGTGAATACACGAGTGGATATGAAGATGCGTGTGTATAACTGTTCTGTTTATCCTCTTTAATCGTCTAACCTATGTGCTTTGTTTTTATGTTGCTTTTCTCGAAAATTCTCGAGAATAATGATACTAATGTTTTTTAATGTGATAAGTGTAAATTCATGTATTTGACTTTAAACCATGTCGTTTTTATGGGGGCTAGGTGTGTAACCTGACTGGCCAAAGTAAAATAAGGTTTAGACCAGTGAGCTTATGATTGGGAACCCGATTTCGTAACCAATAGGTGACTGGTTCACTACCTATTGCGAAACCACTTGCTGTGATATGTTAACGTGGATAATGATACAACGTGAATTATTCAGAGTGTGAACATGAAAATGTATATTCTTTTTGATGTTTATTATTTTTTGGCTTGTGGGAATATTATGTAACAGAACTAGGATATATTGTCATTAAAGTCATTCGAAAAGAAAGCTATTCTTTCGTTCTGCATTAACTACTGTGTAACAAACTAAACAGTGTAATTTATGCACGAATATGGAAAGATGAGTATGGTCTTTTGTATGACGGTCAGATCGTTTTTCCTCTGTGTATTTTATTGATGTATTGTGCTGATATAATATGACAACCTGAAACGATATACGTACTGACTAACTGACTGGTTGGTAAATAAGATTGGAAATATTCGTCAATATCTTTGTCTGAGAGTCTCTTTTATTGTTTGATTTTACGGTAAAATGGGGAATAGCAACGTGAGTTAGGAATTCGTGTATGATTTGCAGACGAGTTCAGCAACGATACCATTTCCACTGGATGGGTTTTAGACAACGTTTGTTAAGGATAACCGAAAGTGTATTGAGACAGAGATTTCATTTATGTAGACAGAATTCAATCATATAAGTTCCTGTATCTGGGTGTGGAGTAACAAATATGCTGGATAGTTGAACTTGAAAAACACTTTATTAGTTAGTTGATTCTGATGTTCCGTTTAGGAAGAACTGTGCTTACAAGGCTAGATGCCGTGATTATGCACGTTTATTCTGTGATATAAACTCACTTTATTTCCTTAACTGTGGATTAGTAGTTAGTATCCACATCGAAGTAACAAATATGGTCGAAAAATGTGAATGTGATTTCTCACTTGCACTGTACATTATTAGTATTATGTGATAGTTCGGTGCACTTGGGTATAATGAAATAAGATAATTTGCTTATTCACAAATAATGTTTAATGAGGACAGCTTAGAGAGTTAGCACGAAGTACTAATTAGATAAACCGACCAGATCAGCTGTTACTGATACTACCTGGTTCTAATTATTCGAATTCCATGCATTGTATTGATTCCCACTTTTAACTGTATGTTAAAGATCGTATTAACCGTGAACATTTCAAAACGATATTGTTTTTGAATTAAGGTGAAAGTGTTCCAGTCACCAAAATTCCCTTGCCCGATTCACCATCAAAGGCTACCTTATTTGATATCAAAGTTCATGGTCGCCATATTTTATTTGCTGGTACTACTGTTATTCAAACAAGAAATTATGAAGATGAACGTGTTTTGGCTGTTGTTGCACGCACTGGCTTTTACACGGTGAAGGGTGAACTTGTACGGTCGATTCTCTTTCCTAAACCTCTAAAATTCAAATTCACTCAAGATTCCTTCCGGTTTATTTTCGCGTTGTCTATTCTTGCTGTAATTGGTTTAGGAGTTTCAATCTACTTGATGGTAAGAAGTGATTTTTCGTTGAGAATGTGTCGTTGTTTTCATTTGTCACTTAACTACTAATACGTGCCATCACTAATTTATCTAATGGACATGCAGTACACAATTTTTTCAGTCTGGTTTAAATAGGTTTATGTTGGATGGTGTAGAGTTTAACCTGTCATTTATAGATCACTTTAGGCGCGTAATTAAATTGGTTCTGCTCAGTATTTTTCTGATAAACCCATGTGTCGTCACTTGATCCACACGGTATATGAACTCGTAGGTGTTGTAAAGATGCGACACTGTCTTTTTGACAGGTTGAAGAGCCTATGATTGTAAAGGATGTAGTTTTGTTGACCTAGAATATGGAGATGACAAAGTCTTGTTTGGTGTGAGTGAGAAACCCGATAAGAAGTCGGACACTTTTATTGGCTAACTGAATCTAAAATATGTCCACAGCTCATTTGTAAAGATGAATACATGTTCGTCGAAAAATGAGGTCCGATTTTCTGCGAATAACACACACATTTGACCAGGAAAGTTTGCCGAGATGTTCCCAAATTGTTTGGTTTTTCGCTTTTTTAATAAATTTAGTTTTACCATTTGACGAGGACAAAATGACATTCGATACACAATTCTCCGATTGATTGCTTTTTTCTCAATATTTCTTTATCACCGATCGATTACTCAAACATACTAGTTGTATTTCCTTTTAATCGCTCCTGAAAAGCACTGGTCACAGGTACCTTCTTTAAAGAGGTTCTCATTAGACGAATTTTTTTCAAAGTAATACTTGAATTTATCTCAAAACTAGGATTTATCTTGATCTACATTACACATGTCCATTGATATGTCTCGTTGCTTGTGAGGTCTATCATTCTAATACTTGATACATCCATTCTGAAGATAATGTTTGCTGAAAATAATAGAATCAGCTAGAAATAATCGTGGTTAAATCGCTAGTAATTTATTGTGAAGAAATGGATGTCCACAAACTCGCCATCTGATCCGAATTAGTTTTAAACAGATGGTAGTATCTGGTTTAAGAAAAGAAATATTTAGATATTAAAAATTCTCAGATTAAGCAGTTCCGGTGTTAACTGTAGCTATAGTTGATCTCTCCACTTTCACTCACGAAAATTATATTACGACTTATAAAACGAAACTAAACGTGATGAGTTTGTTGTAAAGTTATTTGAAACAATTTACACTGATGTTCTAGATCAGAGCTGACGTTGGTGTTGGTGACATTATCCGACGAGCGTTAGATCTAGTTACTGTAGCGGTACCACCAGCCCTACCTGTTGTGATAACAGTAGGTGTTGTTCTGGCTCAGCGACGTCTACTATCACATGGAATATTTTGTGTCAATCCAACCGTGATTAATGTATGTGGAGTTATCAATGTGGCTTGCTTTGATAAGGTAAGACTTTTCTCTCTATTTTCAGTTTATGATGATATTTAATATTATCGTTTGAAATCCATTTGAATAAAGCCCAATTCGTGTTACTGTTCTGTTTAATTGTGTATTGTCTCGATGGTTAGAGACCCTGAATGATATGGCTCAAAACCGTTTGCAATGGCGCAGGTGCATTCATTCTTTGTGTTCTCTCAAATCCTAACCTTCATAGTTCCTCATCAGCTTTATCTTTTTCTTTTAAGTTTATTTCAGTAGATTCTACTTCTAATCTCTCCAATCACTGCTACTTCTTTTATTACCTCTACTACTATAGGATTTGAATTGACAAATGCATCTCTGTGCTAATGTGGTATGGCAACTTGAACTGATGTGCGTACGTACGAAGTTGTACGTTGCTGTTGATTGATTGGTTGATTAATTGTATATACCTTTATCAGTTTGGAAAACGTAACTTATGATGTTCGTATTGTAATCTGTTTCACTAGTGAATTTGGATTTAGTTGTCTCTGGAGTTTTGAATCATATAACCATTCAAGTTAAATCTGTCTTATCGTCTGGAAAATACTATTATTTTACATAAAACAGACTTCATACTAAGCTTAGAATTGTGCTGAGTCACTAATTCTTCTGGAATCTTATTCTCTGTTTTGAATATTGTTTTAGCTACTGCTGATGTTACTTCCACTTTGGTGTTTATTCACCTGCATAATTTCATTTCCGTGTGTTATTGTGGTTCGGAAAGTTGAACCAATTCATATTTGTGCTAGGTGCTACAGTGTTTCTGATTGACTAGTTGATACGGTTATGTTAATGTTAATTCAAGCTTACCTAGCAGCCTATTGATCACGGAAGCCAGTAATTGCAGATGATATTATTGGCTTTTATAAGTTGAAAATAAGAGGCATTGATATGGAATGTATGAATCAGTAGATTATTGTGTCGTAACTGTACCCTCTGTAAACAATAATATTCTTCGTATACCGCAAACAAGTTGGAACTTTGTTTGGTATAGCATAGTCGTGTAGTATCTTTTAGTTATCGTAGAAGTAGTTTACTTTGCAGTTTAGCATTTTTCTTAAGATTTTCCTATATCTTACTAGTAATTTGATTGAGTGTACTTGTAATTTAATTCGTTTCAAAGGTAAAAATGACCTAAACTTAGAGCTGGAGAATAAATTGATAGTTTTCATTCAGTAAGTTATACAGACAACTCAGTAGCAATGTATATATATATATATATATATATATATATATATATATATATATCGAGATATTATGAATCCTCGTATTATAAACAGAGTCTAGTGTGTGGCGAAATTAAACACAGTTAGGAAACCATGAAGGTATACTGTAAATAACTCGAAATAATTTCATTTGATGTATTTTATAAACATAGTCAACCAAATGCGATAAATTGAATCTACCTATTTCTTTTATCTACCTCTTTCTAAGCGGTGTAGGAAGTTGTTTACTCATTCACTGCTTAGATTCTCTAAACGTATCCCCAGTAGAAATTCTAATTACATTCGCTCGAGCAGTTCGATTTGTTAATGCTGCTGTTTTTAAGATATATATTCTCTGGCAAAACACATAGATATCAGCGCAAAGGGCCGTTGAAATATTTATGCACCACACAAATTATTGAATTTGTGAGTGGGCTGAGATACTGCCTGGACACCCAAACTGGAGCGGGTGCTTTTCTTGGGGGCTAAACCCTGAGCCTTTGACCTACGGGTCTAATCCTTAAGACAGTGGAGCAATGTCAGGAAATGCAGTCCCATGGTAGCTGCTGACGAACAATAGGTCCATACACCATTAGTTCCGTCAGGATCCTGGAGCCCATGTGCACCATTGCTTTAGAATAAGAGTTTTCCAATTCCTCTACGTGGATCTTCAGTACCTACCAACTCGGTTTAAACACTATGTACTTGCCCTTCGTCCTCTTAATTTCATAGACAAAACCTGTACCACGAGAAGGCAATGAGTAGGACTTTCTCGCCAGTGGCTATATATACGCATGGTCATATGAGAGGAGTCTTCCTACTCTCAACCATACCAGGGCATTTGGGGGCTATTATTTATTGGGTTGTACGTTGTATTATTAAAGCAGATGACTGTCTAGTTCAGTATCCTTCTTATCGAATTGAAAATTCAGCACCATTCGAAGACTCAAGTGTATAGAATATTCAAATCGTTGGATACCAATGAAACGTACTGTGTACTATTCCCAGCGATTCGTTTTCTTCCATACTTCTGGTTATGGAAAGGTGGATAACTTTCAAATACTTTTCATGTGCATTCTTGCGGTGAATTTAAAATTACGGCAGATTTACTGTCATAAGCAGTTAAAATTAAGAAACATCAAATAGTTTGATGTTGTCGTAATTGTAACAAAATTTTTACCATATCCCAACCCCTTAAACACGAATAACAATCAAGGTCAATAAATCGAACACTGATCTAGTTATCCAAGTGATGGAGATTGTGTATATAAATGTAACTTTGATATATTTTTGTCACTTTGATTTTCGTCAAAACAGGTTATTTATTCTGAATGTGGCTAGCGCTTTATAAGTTACTCTTTTACAGGTCATGATTGTATTCTCATTTCTGATTTTGGATTCTGTCATAGGCAAACAATAATTTTTCTACTTATTTCTATTACTTGCCAGATACCGTGTTATTTCTTCGGATATTACTTAATTACGACCGTTGACCCTCGTGGTGGACCATAGTCTACTGATTATCAATCTTTCACCTATTCTGTCTTGGGCTCTTTTCCAGTTCTAGCCATGTTCTATTTATTATTTTGATGTCTGCCTCCAATGCCCACCACAATGTGTTGTTTGATATGCCTCTCTTCCTCTTTTCTTGAGAACTTCGATTGATCGCTTGTCTTGTCACGTAGTTCGGGAATTTCTGCAATATGTGTCCAATCCACCCTTAGCCTTTTTTATCAGTTTCCTTTTCTACTGGAATCTGCTTTATTTTCCGTCACAGTAGCTGGTTGCTAATAGTTTCCGACCAACAGAACTGGAGTATCTTTAGTTGACAAATGCTTATTAATACCTATATCTTTTGAATGATAGTTTTTGTAGTTTTTCAAGTTTTGATTTTATGCAATAGAACTGTCTTTATATTTGTATTGATAGTTTTGACTTTGGTGTTGGTTGCAAGTTGTTTTGAGTTTCAGATTATTTCCTGTTGTTGGAATACTGCTTTTGATTTGACAATCCTTGCCTTTACATCTGTATTATATCTGCCTTTTTTATCCATGATGCTACCCGGAGCATGGAGCATTTTTGCAGTTACTGCTGTCTGATTTTAGTGTCTCAGCTAGAATATTTTCTGGTCCTGCTGCTTTGCCACTCTTGATTTATCTGACGGCCATTCTGATTTCTCCAATTGTTGGTGGGTTAACATCAATTGGAAGGTCCGTAGGTGTTGCTTCGATGTTGAGCTCTTCAAAATGCTCTACCCGTCTCTGCCTCTGCTCTTGAATCTCAGTGACTACTTTGCCTTTCTCAATCTTAACTGGTGTCGTTCTGACCTCCTATATTTTCCAGCTAGCGCCTTCGTTGTATTATACAATTTTCCCATGTTTCCTTCTCTCGCAGCCTTTTCCGCCACATTGCTAGATCTTCCATGTATTCCCGCTTCTCAGCTGTTAAATTCCTGTTCACTTGCCTGACAGCTTTGTCCGGTAATCGTTCAGCAGAAAATCCTAAGAGAGTTTTGTAAAAATTGTTGGTGATATTTACACACTGCTACTAGATTAATCACACTTCTATAAATATTTCTACATCTCCGTTTCCTGAACCTGAAACAACGTTAGACCTAACGCTCCTTTTGATAGTTTGTGACTGTTATCTTCTGTATAAAGTTTAAGTGCAAGAGATTCTGTTTAACTGGTAAGCGGTTAGAAGGACATTATCAAGTGTCTAAGTTCTCGATTTATTAGTCATTAGGTTCTTACTTAGTTATGTAGAAATAATTTTGTGATCCGAATAGGCCTCATATGTTTTCCATTGTTCCATGTTTATCCATAGACGGGTACTTTGACAGAAGATGGTTTGGATATGTGGGGTATCATTCCTTACGAAGATGGTTTGTTTAGAGACCCAGAATTGGAACCGTCGGAGTTAGGCAATGGTCCCTTAATAGAATGTTTGGCGACATGTCATTCTTTGACATTGATCGAAGGAGTCCTGTCTGGAGATCCTCTGGATTTGAAGATGTTTCAGTCAACTAAATGGGTAAGAATTGTAGATGATTTTGGTTTGTTTTGTCGTTCACAGAGTCTACGTCTATGAAACCTAAATGTTGTAGTTACTTTGACCTTTATTAACGTGAACCTTAGTTGCCGATCAAATTGTTTTCATATATATTTTGTTTATGTCTAAATAATTTTATTGTCAGGAATTCATTGAAGAAGCTGCTGATCATTGTAAGTTTGAGATGGCTGTCCCTGCTATCGTACGTCCACCGAGTAAAGGCAGTTCAACGGAAAAGATTTCTGTAAAATTCAATGGTGATGTAAGTTAGAATATGCAATTTTTTTGAAACCTTGGGAATTCGTTCCGTGTTTTGTTGAATAAGTGTATGTTAATATTGATGATTGTGCTGGACAAAGTAACTGTTTTGGTCCATGTTGTGTGATTGATGATAAAGTTTATCTTATGTTGTTATTTCATTAAAAATGAAACCTGTGCAACTGTACTGTCTTGCTTTTGGACATCAGCTCATTCTGGGCTTGCGTCAATAATTCAGTCTTGTGATGCACCATCACTTTGTAGTGATTTGTTGAAATGGTGGAAAGTCAAGCGAAACGAAACTTGTCCTCATACTAAAGAGATTAACCCTGAAATTACTTCTTGAAGTTATGTCTCAATTAATACAAATAGAGAAGGCATGAATTTGTGATATATTATATTCCTTTCCAACAGGAGGGTAATGAAATCCTAACATAGTTATTTGTGTGCATTATCAGTGGTAGTGGCGATGGGGGTGTCTACTCGAATACCATCTCTTCTGTTTATGCTATTCTGATCCGTCCATGTACACACTGCTTCTGCTGTCAATTTTTCTGTGTGTGCTACAAACTATTTCTGCCTTATTTTGGTTCCATCGAAATTGATATTGTATCTCGATTCTATCTCATGTGATGCTATTGTCGGTTTACTCTCCAGTTGCTGTGATATTCTACATGCCAGTTGAATCATACTTTTGTCAGTTTATATAGGTGTATTTAGAAAAGCACATCTGTGAAAACACTGAATGTTGATAACGCTGTACATCAAAATTGACTGTAATGTTGATTCCTATGTAATGACGTGGCGTAGCCGTGTTGATATGTTTGGGGATTTCAATACTCATTGAAATCGGAAATCATGATCACCTGCTTCTATAGCCATACGATGTCAAATCACCTAATGTGATATTAATATACAGTGAATTTGTTGTCGTGTTCGAAAAGCATACGTATATAGATTACTCAATTCGATTATAGTGTGTTTAAGGTTTCAGCTTGCATGTCAGCTGAGTAATTTGTGATTTCCTTCTTTGTTCTGTTTTGTGAAATGCTTTTTGAATGTCAAAAACTCTGATTTCACAAATTTTCAGGATATTCAGTACGAAGTGGGTATTTTACGTCAATTTCCATTCAGTTCTTCATTGCAACGCATGTCTGTGATTACTCGTGCTCTCAATCAAAATCATTTCAATATATATACTAAAGGTGCACCTGAAACCATTGAATTGTTGTGCAGATGTGATACTAGTAAGTAAAAGGTGATGATTACTTTCTGTACTTTTACTATCAGTTAGTGATATGCAGCGTTAAACCTAACACAAACATATATCAATGTAAGATCCTACACCATTTTAACACAGGGAGATGAAATAATGCATATTAATAATACGAAAGAAGTGTTTGCGTTATTTACTGTGAAGAGTTTAGGCGTGGGCAGTGTGATTTGAAAAGGAGTTATGAATTGGTGTGGTGAAACGTTTTTCATAGTTTTAACATTGAAGATTTGGTGGTAGGCAAAGAATGAGTATATCTGGACCGTTGCAAGTGATTCGAGACCATGTCACCCAATATCTCCGGCCACTGGTTTCTCCAACCAGATTGTGTCTACCTGTTAGCGTGGCTGAAACCAACAGTCAGTGACCTTGTGGATTGGTTCTACGCTTTGATCTAGCAGCTCCTAGTTACACTACTCAACATGGTACATTGAGGTAGTGAGTTGTCGGACAACTTAAGACACTCCAATTATTTAGTCGATGAAACTTCACAACTTTTTCAGTTCGTTTATTGTGCTTTCCTAGTGCCCTATACCTTATATTCACATTGTTTACTCCACCAAGATTCGAAGACAAATAATCGAACGTTGGTCACTTGTAAATATCCTCTGCTTTCAAAGGCCAAGTTTTGCAGTCTTAAGCGGACATGAAACGCATAGAAAATGCTGCATTGGTTTAATTGGACGACACTACAGAAAACCAGGTCGATCACATCTACACCAATAGAATGTTTAGGAGGTCCATGGAAGACGTGTGAACAAAGAGAGTTGATGATATCCCTTCAGATAACCGTCTGGTGGTGACCAGGATGATAGTGAGGCAACCAAGAAAAATGATAACTCCCACGTGTCGGGAGGTGTTGACTTCACGAAGCACCATTTCATTGTAAGGATCTCTGTTGATACTCTGGATAAGGATCAAGAAAGGAACAATAAGAAGACAGCAATCAATATCAGTCGAACAAGAGAAGATAAAGCGAAGGCGCTGGCCGAATGCACAGAAGCTAATAAACAACTGAAGCAGAGCATTAAAGCTGACAAACATAAATGTGTGGAAGATTTAGCTATGATAACAGGAAATGCCGTAAGAGAAAGAAACGTGGGACAACTATACGATACAACGAAGAAGCTTGCTGGAAAATATCGTGAACGAGAACGACCAGTCAAGAACAAGGAAGGCGAACTAACCACTACGATCTAAGAACAGCGAAACAGGTAGGTATAGCACTTTGAAGAACTGTTGAGTGGACCATCCTCACTGAATCCTCGGGGCACGAAAGAAACACTTGCAGACCTTACAGATGTTATCCCACCAACAATCGAAGAAATCAGCTTGGCCATCAAATACATCAAGAGTGGCACGTGTGCCATTTCAGACAGCACACCATCTCTGGCACTGGATTCAGACATTTAAGTGTTTGCCAAGATGCTCCATGCTTTCTTCAGAAAGATCCGAGAGGAAAAATGAGCACCGACAGATTGGAAAAAAGTGTACCTAGCCTAGGTAGGTACCAAAGTAAAGTATAAGAACTACAGAGGTATCACACTAGTATCAGTTTCAGGAAAATTTCTGAACATTGTTGTTGGATAACGCCTAAACGAATTGGAAACTTCTACGTGGCTTGGTAGCATCATTAATAACAAGGTGATTTGATGCGGACGTGAAGACACAGATCGTTAAGCAATGGCAGCATTCCTGCGATTGAAGAATATCTGAAACTGAAAACAACTTTCAGCCAATACCACTTGAAATTTCTCATTGCAAACGTCAAATGGAGCTGAAACTTGTAAAAAATGACAGTCATTATTCCAAATGTTCAGGTATTCAACAGTATTTGTCTACTCAAAATACTCCAACTTCTTTGACTAGATGCTATCAGCAATAAGCAACCATAGTGTAAAACAAATTGCATTTAGGAACAACTATAAAATGGAGATTGTATGACAGAATTAATCTACTGCAGCAGTAAGGATCACTTGTTGTAATATTCTGCGCTGAGAATTCCATATTATGCTGAACATATAATATTATTTACTCATTCCTTTGAATGATTGATTTATTTGCTTCAGTCAGTCAGTTAGTTACAATGTAGAACTTCGTACATGATTACATAAGTTCAGGTTGTCATACCTCGTCAGCACAGAGACACATTTGTCAGTTTAAATCCCACAGTGATAGAGATTGTAGAAGTATTAGCAGTAATGGAGAAGACTAGGGTTCGATGATATAATTCCAGAAGTATAATTCAGTGAGAGAAAGATAGGGATGATGAGGAATTTTGAAGGTTAGGATTTGATAGAGCACGACGAATGGATGCACTTGCGCCATTGCAAACGATTTTGAGCCATGTCGTTCAAGGTCTTTAACCATTGGTGACTTACGTCTCACGGACTCCAACCACGTAGACTACATCTACCAACATGACTCAGTCCACTTTTTAGTGACTTTTATGGTTTATATTCTACATCAGTATTTGAAATTTAATTATTATGATATTATGATGTACCAAGTTTTGTATTGTTTTGCTGAAATCATAGAATAATTAAGAAAAAAGATTTCGACAAAATATAATCAGATATTCGTTTATGCTGATGTTATTGTTTAAAAAAAAAACTCGAAATTTCGATAACTGCTCATTTTGAAAGTTGATTTCATCATGTCTAGGCAAACTTTATGTTCTTAGCATAAATACCTGCTGAATTTGAATAAATAATAAATGCAATCAGTGCATACATACTTTAGAGTTTTCTTTTCTTTTTTTATTTAAAAAAATAATAGTTAATTAGGCCTGTCTATTACATTATCTTGTGCCAAATTAATTATCTGTCTCTCTCTCAGATGACCTTCGTTTTTTTTTTCTGACAGAAATATTTTACTTTTAATTACTTAAACCTTGCTTCTGAGACCAGAATTCTTTCATTCCACAATAAAGTAAAATTATATGTGTTTATTTGCATAGTGTTGTCGACATCTTTTGAAATTTTGAATGCTATCCACTGTATTTTGGCGTTTGATGAAAGATTCGTTCATTTTAATGCCTTGTTCTTTTATTGTCATTGGTATTGTCGTCTCAACTTGTATTCTTATCGTGTGTTGTTAATTTCCTTGCATGTTGCATTAATTTCTCTTTTCGTCTAGCATGTTGTTTATAACAAATCAGTCGAGATTTTAGCATAGGGGGCGAGTTTAAAACAATATTGTTGAGTTTTTAACCAGTTCTTAATTAATCAGCAAATAGCCTTTGTAATGCATAGTTTGTGTAAACGAAGACAAAAACATTACGAAATGTAAACGAATTTTACATAATTAATGAATTTATTAACTGTTGTTGTTTACAGGTACAAAAGATATTGTCAAATTAGTTCGTTCATAAACACACAAGACCATTAAGTTTTGATTTACCTTAGGTTTAAGAGTTAAAGTTAAAATTTTGATGTTATATTGATTTGTATGTTATATACATTGTACAGAAACAGACAGAATCGAGCACTTGATGTGTTCAACACTGTCATTTTTCTTTACTGAAGCAAAAAGTAATTCTTATCAATCGTTTAAAAATGTTTCAAGCGGTACTTCTACCATTTATTATGCATGGTATTTGGATTTCTTACAAAAGCTTGACAGTTGCATAATCGATTTTGGTTGGGTCATCCCTATATTTTAATTTAACCTTGTTTTATTTGAATGGAAATACACTGTTATCCCCTATCATTTTGTCTGAAAGTAAACATAAACAAAGTATAGTGAAGTTAAAGTACATTGTTAATTAAAATCAAACCGTTGAAAATTTTTTCCCTTACTTCGAACAAATGTTTTGGTATCTTCAGTTCTCAGTCAGCCTTAATATTAAAATACAGCGATCTTTTATTCAGCTAAGTTTCATTGGGTTCAACTGATGTCACTCCTAGTTTCTGCTGACCGATTTTCTATCTGAGTTTGCTCTGACGTCTTCCATACACACCAATAATTATGTCATAATAAAATGTAAATAGGTACGAAGTTTTTTAAATATTCATCCTAATGATACTATGATTGTCACAAACAACTAACAAAGGTTTTCAACTCAAATATTATTATAAGCTCTTAAATTCAATGTTTATCGATACTTACAGTGTTTGATGCCATCATTTTCATCTTTTGTTAGGCATTTCGGTGATACAATAATATTTATAAATAATTATTCGATATGTATTTTGATTTCCATTCTTTTACCATATCATTTTTTCGTTTTAACGATGAAATAAACAACTCCACTGCTTTAAGTATTTCTATGTTTAAGTCCTCTGAGAATACCATATACGTGTAAACTTCCAGCTAAATTGAAATTCCTATTTAATGTTTTCAATGAAAATATATATATACTGGACGCATTTCAACATTGTTTCTATATTTCTCACAGTTTGTATCATCTTTTCATTGACACATAAATAAAGCTGTATATCAGTAGTGTTTGCTGTGGAACTTCAGTTGTTGTTTTCTTTTGTATTTCAGTTCCCATAGATTTTCATTCAACTCTGTCAGGATACACACGTGAAGGGTATCGAGTGTTAGCATTAGCTTGGAAACCATTAAAAGCAACCTATACAAAAGTTTTACGTGTACCTAGGGAACGTGTTGAACAGGATTTACAATTTCTTGGTTTACTAATCATGGAGAACCGTTTGAAACCGGAAACAACTCAAGTGATTGAAACTTTAAGACATGCCAATATTCGACCTGTGGTGGTGACTGGTATGTTTGTTTTTTATTGATGTGTTTATTTTCAATAGGATTTGTTTTGGAAACTATCCTCCAATGGGTTATTTTTATATGCAGTTATTAACACGTTTCAGTAAGTCAGTCATTTACAACGTAGAACTTCGTACGTACGTACATAAATTCATGTTGACATACCACATCAACACAGAGACGCAATATGCAGTTCAAATCCCATAGTGGTAGAGATAGTAGAAGTATTAGCAGTAATGGAGAAGATTAGGGTTCGTAGATATGATTCAAGAAGTATAATTCAGTGAGATAAATGTAGAGGGAGAAGACAGAGGTAATGAGCAATTGTGCACCTGCACAATTGTGAACGATTTTGAGCCATGTCATTCAGGGTCTCAAACCATCGGTTACTTTCGTCTCACGGAGCCTAACCAGGTAGTCTATATCTACCAACATGACTCAGTCCACTTGTTAGTTACTTCATGGATTTGTGCCATGTTTTGGTCTGGCAACCCGTAGTTTTCTTCCAACCTACTCTTACACCGCAAAATAAATTAATTCTAAGAAATAAATAAATAATGCTTCTGAGGTACTCGGTGTTTGGGAATTCGTAACACATGTCCCAACGACCTCAACCGATGAAGTTCGATAAGCTGCGACATTAAAATCCACACAGATCTCTTTCATTTTCACTTAGTCTACCTACTTGAGTATTTAAGTCACCAGCCACCATTACTATAGCAGAGCGCCTAACATTTTGGTGGAGTTGTGAAAGCTTTCTGTAAAACTCATCTCTCATCTCGTCTGAACTACAGTCAATGGGGGCGTAGGCGGATACGACGAAGAGGCAACGGCGAGTGTGATGAAAATTACACTGAAACAGTTCAATTGATTGTATTCAAAATCTTATGACTAAGTGGGATTTTCATTATAAGGTTGTGGAGATTGTTGAGTTACTTTGAAATCATGAATCCATCAATATTAGACCACCGTTAGAAAGCTGGTAAATTCCCTTGTTGGGCATTTCTTTACGATTAACTGCAGCCTGTTATGGAATTGATCGTTAACGTCTCAATTGTTGTCGTTGTTCGGTGCATAACATTGGATTACGTTCATTGCTATCCCCTTTTTTCTTATATAGAAGGATGCTTTGATGTTCTTTGACCCATGAGATTCCCATCCATCAATGCTCTTAGAGATTTTTGGACAGCATCAATGAAACTGATATGCGACTCATTAGCAGTGCACATCCATGAACCCCATTGTTCGTAAGAATAGGATCTTGTAAATTAATACTTCTAATAGTCAGTTAGAATTTAGGTTTCTTGATAATATCGATTGACCCGATACACTATTGCTCACCATTCAACTTTTTTACTTAGGTGATAATATGCTAACTGCACTATCAGTAGCTCGGGATTGCGGGATTATTGATGAACGGGATCGTATTATTCTTGTGTCTGCAAAACCACCACCTCTTGTTCAGTCATCGAGTCCACATGATTCTGTGGTATGTTCTGCCAATATTGATGTATCAAAAGATCAACAACAGAGTCATTCTCCTTCCAATCATGCTCAGGAGAATTTCTTCAATCAACATGACGATTCATTAGTTGAATTTCATTATGCTGAAGATTTACACAAACCAGTTACTGAAGTAATAACTACAACTGAGACAGGAACAACTGGTAAATTCCATAAATCTCAACTTGTCAATAATACTTCGACCGAAACTGATTATGATTCACATAAATTTCCAGTAAGGAGTGCTAAGAAACCTCGAAAATTGATGCGTTGTTTATGCAAAGATGTCCCTTGTGTGTAAGTTTATATGCATTCGATTGTGAAGATTTTACTCGTGTAACTATCTTCTCTTTACCGAGAGAGAGCTTTGTACCGTTTGTGAGAGTTATAGCTTCTGTCAACTCTCACTGATTATACGATGTTATCTCTCCTAATATTCAAAAACCGTTAGATTCCAAATTGTAACCTTAACAACTTGGCACTTAAATTAGTTATTATTAACATCTTGCATCAGTTGGGTTACTGTAAGTCTTGGTATGTGTTTAACTTTTGATTATTCGTACGGAATACAGTCACCCAACCACATAATAATTTACTTTCCTATGCCTCCAGCTGAAGTGTAATTTCCCAGTTCTTTACACTACTATTGCGCATTGTGAAATACTCAAATAGGATATTTTTCAGTTTGTAATCAGAATTCAATCATTAGTTTCAAAAGCGTTCACTAAACCTTGAACTAAGTTGCATTGTGTGACATCTGCAAACCTTACATATGCTTCCCCTAGATGGCAGAAAAGATGAAAGGTTTAAACGTTATGGACATTAGAAGTACTAAATGACCGAAAGTTTATGGCATCATCTCATCAGAGATAAAGTTTCATACCGTTTGATTGTAGTTTTTGGTTTTATAATTGGTGAGGATTTTTCAAAACATGTTTTATACAGAGTAGATTTGGTTACTCATTCGTCAAACAATGTTTCCCCGATGTTGTGTTGTTGCCGGAATGTTCTGAGGCTACTCATCACTCAAACGTTTCATTATCCATCATTAGTTTTGCCGAAGAGTTTTTTTGAGTCTATTAACTTCCATCGTTACAATTATTTATGCTTCCTTGGTTGTTTTCATTTGCGATCGCTGAATTGTAGTTGTGGACAGAATTCCTCGTCCTCGCTCAGTTCAGTGACAGATATAACTCAGGTGCCTAATGTTTCAGTGAATGACCATCCTTATGCTACTTTATCCGATCAACCAGAACGTCACCAGTGTGAACTTGGAGACCAGACATCTTCCTCTAAAGATCACTTGCAATCTGTGTCGAATGATCGCTTGAATTCCACTCGTCCTGTATTTATACGGATGCTTGATCGACCTGATTTCCACTTGGCTATGTCTGGTAAAACATGGGCTATCATTCGAGAACACTATCCTTGGCTTATACCAAAGGTGAGTATGATTGCAATAGTAGCACATATCGAAGGTAATTTTAAGACGGATGTTTTTCCTGAAGCTAGTTTATATATTATTACATGTTCAGTGTTGTATGTTCGGCGTTTGATAGAGTTTAGAAGTCAACTGAATACACCATTTAATCCTTCTAGTAGGAGTGAGAGCTCAATCTTTCATCGTTCCCACTTGCGTATACAAAATGCATTCAATCTATGGTCAAAACAGCATGACAACAGCATGTTGTTCAATAGACACGTTTTGTGCCATTCTGTTGAGCTAAAACAGACTCAATTTTCTACTTGATATCCACAAGTGTTACATTGTGTACACAGATACGTTTACATCAGTGTAGTACAAAGTATTTTTTATTCAATATTAAGTTGATTAATTAGCATACGTTTGTTTTGTGTCGGTGTTTGAAATAATTGTTCACTGAATGTTTGGTGGTTAGAGGTATTCGTCAAGAAAGTCTAGACCTGTGTATTTTGCTAATTAAAGGTTGTCAGCATGGTGCACCTGAGGATACTGATGCTCTGCGTAGTATTCGAATCCTCGTAAATAGAACTCTGTCAGCACGCAGAAGACCATACAAACACGAAATCAGTGATTTACAAATGACCGGTGAATTGTAAATTATTCACCTAGTGTTGCTTAAATGCGGTGTTTTACAAACAGTTCGGTTCGACAGAACGTTTCTGTATTTGCTTACTTTGATTCTCGTATATATTTTATATCGTTCGAACTATGATATGATCAGTCGAACTGTCGGTAAGCTGAGTATAAGAAGTCAAATGAGAGTTGTGTAAGAGCACTTTCTACACAGGTGCTCATGTTTCTTTAGAGATTCGCCTACTTTTCGACCTATTTTCAGTTTTAAACCATGAATATTTCCGTGTTAGTAGAAATATTGTCTTTAGAGTTGCTTTTAATTGTTTTCCCTTTGTGTTTGTGTGTTTCTCAGCTTGTAGTCAAAGGTACTGTGTTTGCTCGTTTTCATCCAGAACAAAAAGCTCAGCTGATTGAATCGCTTCAATCAGTTGGTTATTTTGTTTCAATGTGTGGTGATGGCGCTAATGATTGTGGTGCATTGAAAGTGGCACATGCTGGGATTGCATTAAGCGAAACTGAAGCCAGTGTTGCTAGTCCTTTCACATCGAAACAACAAAATATTAGTTGTGTCCCGACACTTATTCGTGAAGGTCGTTGCGCGTTGACTACGAGTTTTGGTGCATTCAAGTTTATGGTTGGTTATTCAATGATTCAATTTTTCTCAGTTATACTTTTGTATTATGTAAGTTTAGTTTTAGTATAATTTCCATATATACGGATATCTGAACGAAAAATATGTTGTATAATTATTCACTAGCCATTCAAGCCAATATTTGGCTGATACATGCCATGAATACTATATTGAGTGGACTCGTCAACCATATGCCAGACATCCCTGTATTTATTTTCATTTCTTATTGTAAATCAAGACTAATTATTGAAGTAGATATTTTATAGTCTGAAATAAAAAAAACATTCATCCCTTCCAGACAAGTTGTAACTGTATTCGTCCTTCTTTTTTATATATCGAAAAATAATTCGGTTTGAAATCAAAGCATAATAGTAGACGTCCACTACAGATGAAGACATTTGTTTTTTTTTATGATCATTTTGTTGTATTTTGTAGTTGTGCAGGTGCTTTTCTGACAAATTTTGTTTCTTTGTGTGTTTCTTTTCACTTCTCAATAGATTGGCAGCAATATTTCCGATCTGCAATATATGTTTATCGATGTTATTGTCATCACTACTATGGGTCTTACGTGTAAGTTTAAATTATTATTATTATTATTATTATTATTATTATTATTATTATTGTGTTCATCAACTAATAATTAGTTGATGTTGACAATATGGTGCTTGTTTCGGTCTGGGTTTCTTTTTCTAACAATTCTATTAATGAAAGGCAACTTTAGGTCAGATAGTAAAAGTTTGTGTTTTCCTTCACTTTGATGTATTCATTTAATTATTTTTTTTTCTTGGTTTGTTTGTCTATGTAAAAACTGAAAATATTTAAAAGGTCACACTGACTATTAATTGTTAATTTTTCTTTCGTTCTTTTTGTATGTAAATGAATACCATGATTGAACTTAAAATCTAATATAGATAATCACTAGCTATGTTTCTGTGTATTGTTTGATACCATTACATAAATGTGAGCACATTGCTAATATTAGCCATAATCTACAATCAATCTGTAAATAATGTTGTATAAGAAATGTGAAAAAAAATTAAGATAACTGTGAAAACTAAATACCACTAGAAAATTTTTTTTATCTTCATTGTTGCTCTACATAGTAGTGTAAATCCGTAACTAGGAAAACACAGTCGTTTAATGCTTCCTAGTCCTCAATGCTACGAATGAAAATACAAACTCCGCATATCAACTTAACAGTAGCTTAAAAAGTCGATAACTGGTTTACGAAATTATAAAACATTGTTTATCAATCATTGAACATTTAATCTTTTCACAGTTTAGTTTTTTTAATACTGATTACCTTTTTCAGGTTAATTTTTAGAATAAATTGATGTGTGGTACTATGAATGTTCTTTTTGTATTGAAAAATTAATTTTCCCCTTAATCAAAACAAACACGCGGTGTTGACTCATGTTTTCAGTCTGTCAGGCACAACATGGAACTTCGTACGTACCTACATCAGTCAAAGTTGCCATGACACATAAGCACAGAGAGATGGAATTATCAATTCAAATTCCATAATAGTAGAAATAGTAGAAGTATCAGTGGCACTGGCGAAGATTAAGGTCCAAAGATGTGATTCAAGAAGTATAATTCAGTGAAATAAATTTAGAAAGAAAAAAATAGAGGAATTCAAAAGATCAGAATTTGAGAGAAGGCAAAGAGTGGATACACCTTCGCCGTCGCAGACGATTTTCAGCTATGTTGTACAAGGTCTCTTACCATCGGTTACTGTCGTCTCGCAGACGCCGACCAGGTAGTCTACACGTATCAGCATGACTCAATTTAGTTGTCAGTGACTTCATGGATTATTATCACCGATTTGGTCTCGCTTACTATTACGGGTATGAGGGCGGTTGTCACTTCCCGGCTGCCCACACCGTAGAAGGTTGTTTCTTGAGGAACCTGTAAAGGGAAATAGATTAGTGTCGGTCTTAGAGACCTGGGAACGTGACAGCAGAGCCCAAGGGACAACTGCTTGGGGCCGGTCACACACGGCCTTTTTATGAATGGATTTTCGAGTATTAGCTCCGCTCTTGAAAGCCCTTAATGGGCACCCTTACCGCTGGAGATGGATTCCGTGAGGTAGAGTGCGGTGTGACATTTTTATGGTCGACCTTTTCTAACCCTTCCTTCCTTGTGAGAAGGCAGCATCGCTGCAGATGCTGGTTGTCTGAGGGAAACACTCTACTGCTGCCACACCCGTCTGCAGTCAGCAGTACTACTTCGCCCTCAGACCTTGGGTAGCTGCTTTTAGTCTCATCGTTCTCCAATTGACCTGCCTGGCATGGTAGAACCTTCAGAAACATATGTTCCAACCAATATAGCTCGGTTGGGTCATCACGATAGGCAAGCCCGACCACCACGTCAAGGAAGCAGCTTTGGTCGGTGCCATGTTTTGGTTTGGCCGCCACTAGCGTACGTAACACCTGTCCCAACCACCTCAACTGATGAAGATGCAGTACTTCACCAATTGATTTGCCATCCTTACGTAGTACCGTTTTCGCATGCGTAAAGTAGGATGGAACCAAGGGTTGTGCAGAAAACCCGTCCTCTGTATTAGAGATGTATATCTTTCCTACTCCATAAGTGACGGTTTCTAGAAAATAAGAGGGAGAATCGTGTCCCCAACATGCTTACAAAGTTTCTCTAGGTGTTCAGATGACTACACTTTTTCGGCGTCTTCACCAAACAGAACTATGCCAACGGCACATTCTAAATTAATAAGTGAATATCCTGGTAGAAGATTAACTTCTGAAAAGTCAAATGACAAAAGTGTCGTCTCTAAAAGCATGTCAATGACAAAGTTGAATAAGAATGTAGAGAGTGACAACCTTGACAAATACCACCTGAAGTAATCAATTCGACTGACAGTTCACCATAAGCTGTGACTCGACCAGTAGTGTTGGAGTAGAGAGACTGTTCAAGGTTAATGTACCTCTGTGATACTCCTTTGAATGAGAGACCCTGACACAAAACCTCACGATGGACAGAATCAAACGTTGCCTTAAGGTCGTTCCTCTGTTTTTAATCCAATGTACATCTGCAGTTCTCAATCTAAAAGTCTCACCCACTTGTATTTACGTATATCCCTCACTGATACGACACAAGCAATAACAGAATAACGTCACTTATCAACCAATAATAATGCTTTACTGTTATTGATCAGTATTTTAGACCGTCACTGTTGATCACGTTATTGTCATTTTTATTAATCCACTCAAAATATTATAGATATCTCATGATGTTTTTGCGAAGTATTTTTTGATGAATATTAGAGTTCTCCGTTTCAGGTTAATTTTTGAAATAAATTGTTGTATAGTACAGAACTATTTTATGCTTCGTTTTTACATTGAATAATTCATTTCCACATCATTAAAAAAAGCACGTAATGTTGACTCTTGCTTCCTCCCATATTTACATGAAACAATCGTTGATCGTGATTTACTGGTAGATGGTTCTTGTCACTGATGAATGTCAGTTAAGATAGCAATGAGAATCAAGACGAACGGGATCGCTCTTTTGTCGTAATGCAGCACTCTTGCGCTGTATACACTCACGATCCTACCTGCAATCGAACCCTAAAACCTTCGGAACGACTGACAATCAATTAACCCATAGATCACTGAGTTTACAGGATGTGGAGGCTCTGTTTGCAACTTTAGATATTGTCTTCAGTGAACACTACTGAATAATTCCTTACTAAGAAAAAGCAGCTGTTCAACATATGGTTTTTAGTGAAGTCTTTACCTGTGTAAATTCATGATTTTAACCGCATGAAAGGCAACTATCTTCGTAAAATCCAAATCAAAAACACAATATTTCTGCATTGATTTCTGTACCATTCTGATTGTTCACGTGTTTTTTCATAATTTTGAAAAAGGATAATTTATTCAGGAATAGACGACCTTATTCTGACCATAGCACGTTGGATGAATAAGTACATTGATTTGCATTTCTTTAAATTCACCCTAGTTTTTCTATCCATTTCACAAACATTGAAATCTCACGACCATGACTGGATTTCTCCACTAGAATTTCACTCTTCTCAAAACTAATTCGCATAGTGCATCTATGTTGTGAAAAGCAGACACTTTTTACTGATTGTTATTGAGTTCATTTTACTTTTAAAATACAAGCTTCCCTTAGCTACACTATCATCTTCCATTGTAACACCGCTAAATTGAATTTCATTCTAATATGGTCTTAAGAATTACATATGATTTTTAGTGTTGAACTAAAAACGTCTAATATATTGTAGCAAATGTCATTGAAGTTCATGCGATCGGTATGAATGTAATTATTTACAATGAAGACATCACTTTTTTGAAACACAATACTGTTGAATTGTCAGTTGTACCGAGAAGTTAACTAAGTATGTGGCAGATATATTCTAACGTAACTACTAGGTAACAGCAGCACGAAGAAGACAGTTTCCAGTCAAGGCATAGGTATGATCCAAAATTTCATTTGTGCGTCCCGAATGATGTAGAATGTTTGTTCTCCTGAAAAGAGTCACCTTTTAGGCAGCAAAGCGTTTTCCATACAGGTAGTTTAGCTCAAATTATTTTAATGATATGATGGTCATTCTCTGTAATTTCATCAATGTAGTTTACTGGTTTTTTCTTCATATTGATTCTTTTTTCAATAGTTGGCTATACTCCGGCATATCCTCGTCTGTCTGTGGAACGTCCTGAAATGCGATTAGTCTCAACAGTGACTTTATTATCATTGGGTCTGCAGTTGCTCACTTGTGGTCTTGTACAATTTTCAGTCTTTGTATTTACGCGACTACAACCATGGTTAGTGGGCGTGTTTCTATCGTTGTGATTTTCGTTTGTGACATTCATTTGTATCGATAATTGTGCCAATAGCTATTTGGTAACATGAGAATTGATATTTTATATTGTTGTTAAGGTTATTCAAGGCTTGCTGCATCCATTGCAATGTTGATAAAGCGACCTATAGCCTACTGTTATTTACATTAAAATGTCTTGTGAGCGTTTACTGGCCACGAAGAATTACTGATTAGATAGGCATTTTTATGGATTGATTTAACAGTTTTGTTATTGTGAATCATCTTGTAACTTCATGTAACCCTGTTGATTGTTATAAGTATTTGTCATTTATTTCTTTGAAGGTATTTACCACTGTTTGCTTATCATGAAGATTATGAATTGAAGAACTTTGAAAGTACAGCCATATTCACTGTATCTGTTTACCAGTACATTATATTGGCTATTGTATTCTCTAAATCTGCACCATATCGTCGATCGATTCTTTCTAATCGTAAGTTGTTTGTAGCATCTTTTTTATTGAATTTATTTGTATTAATATTAATATTTCCATTCGATTACCAGCCTTCCTTCTAAAAATTCCTAACACAACATAGAAATAACGATAATAAATCATAGTGAATGCAACGCATGTTCCCCAGTGTCATAGTTGGAAACGTTGACACCCAGTTGTTGAAATTGTATCTAACCCCCCATGACAAGACTGATGACTGCTACCAACTGATATGAAATCTAGGTTTAGAGCTTCCAGTTGAATGCTTTTAATATCAGAAGATAGTTTGTACGATGACAGGTCATTCAGACTAATTGCGATTTTACATCTTTGTTGTTATAAGCATTGCGCAGTTATATTTACTGTATAAAGATGATCAGACGCAATTAACGTTATTGTATTTGTTCACATTTCACCCGAATTGTCACTTTGTTGTAGTTAATACATATTCTGTAACACTTACCTCAGTAAGCTGATTATGTATTTCGGAATGCAGAATATTGGTGTTGCATGTCTTCGCATACAGTAAATGTATTCCACAATCTATTATACAAAACTTGTGACACTGATTTTGAAGTAACATTTTATTGAATAGACAAGAAAGTTAACAGTGTGCTTGTCCCTTGCATGATACTTACCATCTTTGTGAAAGTGCACAGTGACGTTCTTTTGTCAACTAAGATTCTATGTTCCTTTTGCCGTTAATTCAATATGTAAATCAAGAAAGTTGTAGCGGAACTGAAATGTGTAAAACGTTTGACTAGTAGCTGTCTGAACTCAGAAGCTCAGTACCTATCAGATTGGGCGTCTTGTGCAAAGGTCACTTTGTTCGAGTCACGATGTGAGCATGAACACTGGGATGTAGGTGTATGCAATTGACGAGTGCTGTGAAGGAAGAAATGTGTGTCGTAAATACCACTGCTGGCTACAATCTTTCTCATCTTTATAGCCTCCATGAGTTCGCCTTGTCTTTACCATCTAGACAGATAACAGTGTAGATTTCTCCTTATGTTTACAATAATAGTATGCATTACTGCATGTAAGACGTTATTGAGTTGTATATAGATTTCTAGAATAGGTTGATGATTTTAAATGGAAACACTTAGCTTGCTTTTAACTGATGGGCGATTGTCATTTTCTCTGTGACTTTCTAATTGCATAGATTTATTCGTTGTCAACATTATTGCATGTGTTGCGGGATCATTATACTTGACATCTCAACCAGCTCGTGTGGTTCGCAAAGTATTCGAAGTAAGATTTGCGTGATTTTTATCAACTTTCAAACACATTAGTTTTGATTGTCGTTAAGATTATACTGATCTTTCTATTTCCTAAACTATGAGCTTTCGCTGCGAGACCTGAGATGAAGATCCTGAATTACATCCGTGACGGGTCCATTAGTGCACTCTGTTGAGATGGCTCTCAAATAGATGAGAGGAGGTCTATTTGAATAATTAATACTGGGAATAAATTTTCGTCAACATACGTGTGTTCACTCCCTTAGAAACGAAAGCCATTCCTTAACCGATAATATGCATTCACCTCTTGAGGAATTTCTGATTGCCATCCAATGGCCTTCTCATTAGGTCACTGCTGATTGGCTCAATATATTAGATTTTTACTATATTGTTTTCAAACAATTCTAAGTTTATCTCCTTACCTTGTTGTTTCTTGACAGGAAGCATACTCCACTTTCGTATAGAATTTTGTCGTATTACTTCTTAACTGTAATTGTTCCTTCTTTTCACAGTGTGAATAACTGTTGACATTTGTAGTAGAAGTAGTGCTAGCAACTAGTACTTGGACATGTTTGCCATGTATAGGTAATGAATGGTGGAGTTCTGACTGTTTCCGTAGGAGAATGAATTTCTTTAATCTAGATTTCTACGTTGTACTTTCCCGAACAAACTGTTAGATTGTGATTATTATTATTATTATTATTATTATTATTATTATTATTATTATTATTATTATTATTACCTCATCGTCGTATTGGTTGTTGTTGATTCAATTTAGATAGATGATTAGTATTCGTAAGCTGTATGCAGATAGGTTTGCTTTTAGCCTTCTTGAGTACTGGTACCACCTGTATTTGATTATCTGCGTTGTACTATGCAAAACAACTATGGAATGGTGTCTATGCTGTAATTCGAGTGTAATCGTTATACTTTAGGTCTAGAAATCTGTACGTGTAATGTTGGATATATTCTTGTCGAATTATTTGTCACATAAAGATCCTCATTGAGAATAGCCAGCCAACATTCTTCTGATGGTTTAATTTAAGTAAAGTATGTAAAAATAATTATTTCTAACTGATATAGGTATGCATCTTGATGCTGAAGACGTTTTCTCTGAACTAATCTAATGCGGTATGTGTAACTCATCTATGATATTTCGCGATTCTACATTTCGAATTCTGTCCTAGGTATCAGTGTTATCAACTAGTGAGTTTGATTGGTTGTATGATAGGGTTATCTTTTAATCCTATTAGTACCGATTCTGTGGATAAAATGTGTTCATAGATTATCGTTATGTTGAAATGTTAGTCAAGAGTTCTATTAACATCGTTCTTTATAGTATTGTAATGTGGAGTATGGTTAATACGCTTTTTCTTTACTCCTTGCAAACATTTTGGGTGTCAGTTCTTGATAGAGAAGACTCTTCTGAAAGACTTTGAGAAGAGCTGAACAGTTTTATTATCATGTTTTTACATTGTTAAAGAAATGTTTCAGACTGTAATTATTGTGGGAACTGTTTATGTTGTTGTTGATTTTGTTGTTTTGTTTTCAGCTGTGTCGTTTTCCTTCAGTTTATTTTGTTATAATTCTGCATGGAATAGTATTGGGCAATTTATTGTTTGGATATATTTTGGAATCGATTGTTGATGGTGTTTCATTTCGACAACGAATACATCATATTAAACATGCATTATTTCCCAGGTATGTTTATTATGAATACCTTCCATTGTGCTTCCTGCTTGTCGATTCCTTTCATACATTTAATGAACTCAACCAATCGGGTTATTTGAGTCGTGACACTTCATAAGTACATGCATCAGTTCAAGTTGCAATACCACACAAGCACAGAGAGATGGAATTGTCCATTCGAATCCCATTGTAGTACAGGTAGTAGAAGTATTAGAGGTAACAGAGAAGATTAGCGTTCGTAGAAATTATTCAGTAAGTATAATTCAGTGAAATAAACTTAGAAAGGGAAAAGACGAAGAATGGATGAACCTGCGCTAATGCATGTCAATCACACATTACGATTGTCTCGCGGACCCCATCCTTGTAGTCTACACTTGTTCACATGGCTCAGTCTAGTTATAAGTGACTTCACTGGTTTGTGCCACGTTTTAGTTCGGTTGCCCCTAGCTCTCTGCCAGCTTACTCCTATGTCAGACAACGTCGCTCGTCAAGGTAGACAGTGATCAGGCATACGTAACACATGTCCGAACCACCTCAACTGA